ACTATTTTTCTTTAGGAGTTAATAGAAACCCCCATTTCCCCGTGTATTTCTGCAGAAATACACTCAAAATTCCTTTCCCGATCAACAACTTTCAACTCCGATCTATTCTCCATCCGACCTCCGATCGACGAGCCGAAACCACCATCGTGTTCATTGTCGAGCGAGGAACAAAACCCCTTAAACCTTTCGTCATGAATCATAACCGTTTGTCATTAATTTTAGTCGGAAGTATCATCGGTAATAACCCGATTTTAGTTGGTTTTTCATCGATTCACGACGATCCGATGATCTGTTTACGACACCTCCCGCACCATCGTGTTCCTTGCATCGTTCCGAGTCTACCGATGTCATCATTGGTCTCCGTCGACGGTGGCGTGTGAGGAGATGAAGCGGTCAAAGTTTTTGATTTGTTGAAATCGAGCTCTCTGTCGTTCAAAATTGTGAACCGAGCTTTGTAAGTATCTCGGAATCGCTCAAAATAATTTTTAAGAATTTTTTCGTGATTTTTAGGCAGCCGGAAAGGGGCCCCATGCGCCGTCACTGCGCGTGGAGAAGGAAAAAAATGACTGGTTTGACTAGTTTTGCTCCTGTTTTGACCTGTTTGACCGATTATAACCCGATGTGACCCGACCCATTTACCCGACACGTTGACCCGACCTGACCCGTTGACCATTGTTGACCAAAACTTTGACCGGGCATTAAACGACCTTTGACTTTGACCGAGTATACCTATCCTGACATTTTTCAACGATCCAAATCCAATTCCGCAGTCCGTTTTCGAAATTCGGACCCGAAGGCCTCAAAATTGTCAGTTAAACCCGTTGACTTTGATTTTGACCGAAAATTCCAAATTTTTGAAAAGTCATATTTTATGCTTTCGAAGTCTTGAATCAGGATCCGAAGTCCGTTTCGCCAAATTCTAACCCGGTAAGCTGTTTTTCACTTATTTATCATCCGATTCGATCTGTTTTTCATAATTAAGCTCCGTTTTTTATGTAATTTCTGTTGGTATGAATCCGAGGAAATATTGGAAGATTATTTCAAGATTGAGGGCGTTCGAATGGAATTTTATGGTCGATCAATATTGCACGGAAATCGAGGTAATACTTTACTACCTCTTATGCTTTATAGAACATGTTGGTATTGGTAAATGCATGAATGGAAATGTTTGGTCTCATATGTGTAATTAATGAAGATCTACATTTTATACGAATACGGTAGCAAGTAGGTAACTGAATATGGCTCAGATGACTATTATAAGAGATTAAGGAATTGTTAGAATTAAATTTACAAGTTTGTGATTGGTGATAAAGAAATCAACCCTGGATTTGTAACTTATATTTTATATCATCAAATGTTAAATGTTAAAGGTACTTGAATGAGAAATTATGAGAATACTTCGGTAGGGTAAAATTACGAAAATACCCTTATGTTGTAGGATGTCAAAAATTATCCCTGGAAGTTGGTTAATAACTCTGAAAGGACATATTGATCTTATATAATTACATATGTGCATAAGAAATGATAGTTTTGTTTAGAAAATTTGGATAACTGGGTTTTATCGTTAAAAAGGGTTTGTGCAAGATACTAGAAGTTTGTTAAGGAATAATTTCAAGATCAGAGAATGTTCGGGAAAATAATTAATCATAGGATCTCTAAATTATAATTATTTTCGTTAAGAGCTAATATCGAAATTATCTGGTTAAGAAATTACAAAAATACCCTTAAGAGGTAGAATAGTCTGAGTTAACCCTGAATGAGAAAATAGTTAGAGGATTCATACTTAACTCGATTAAGTACGGATTTGATTATTAAGATCCTGATTTAGTGCAGAAAAATTTCATGATATACCGTTTGTAAAATCTGAGAAGGCACTTGACCCGGAAATATCTGAGTTATGAGTAAATACCTGCAGAACAATTTGTCGGGGCTGTTCTGTTGTCAGAATTATTCGAAATGACTGAAATAAATGATAAGATTGAATTTAATAGTAAGATCAGACGGAAGGAAATGATTAAATTACACTAAATCTGTACAATGATCAAAATACCCCTGTAATGGAAATGACTCAAGAATATCACCAAGCTCAGGAATGATTAGATATCCTTGAGCTCTGTAATGATTGGAATAATCTGAACACCAAAATAACCAAAATACCCTTATGGCCTATACTAAGGAAATGTCTTGGATTAATTAAGGAATCCAAATAAACATGGATGTGGTATTGCTCTTAAAAGTTACAGATCACATATTAAGCCAAGCAACTAATGCCAGTGTTATATCAGTACCTGAACGACATAGATGTCGCTTGAATGCGTGTTTGTATTCTCAAGTTTGGCTCGATGATAATTTTGGAAGTATTCAGCTCAACTCTAGATCGCATTCAACAGTAAGAATTTGATATTTGTTAGATAAATCAACCACGAAGATCAAATTGAATTGAACGGAAGTACAATATGTATCCGAAATTCATAAACGTCTTAATTACCTTGAAAAACCCCGAAGTATCTGAAATAGACTTGACTGCTAAGTGAAATAAGTAACCTCAATGACTATGGATTAAATTAGTGATTTGGATGAGTCTGAAAACGTTAATGAACATACATGATGTAATGTTCTTATGGGTCATGAACTACAAAATCAAGCACGACAACATTTCATGATATCGTGGAAGTGTGGAAACGAAATTAAGAGCATTGGTATATCTGTTAGTTTCTTTAAGATCTATTCAGCGATGATTCCGAAGATGATCTATGGATAAGAATTTTTGGTATTAAAAAGTAAATACCCTGAAAGGATAATGAATTGACCAGTTGACAAGCATTAGTTCTGGGAACTATTCATCTGGAGTTGTTAGAAAATCCGATTAATCGACATATACTGTAAATGTCCTGAATCTTCATTTCTTCCTTACCGGCTCAAGTCATATTCTGAATAACTGATGATTTCGTCAGTTATTGAACTCTTCCAATATTGATTCTGAATTCCGATATTCTATCGGTATACTGAAGATCTGTGTTCCTCTACCTGTTAAGATTATCCAATATCTTTGAATAATATCTGTAAATTCTGGTGTGTTCCCTACTCACATGAATATTTTATATGATTTTCGACTTGAATTCTGATCTGATACTTGACATTAATTCTGATATGATATCTGACGTGTATTCTGATCTGATACTTGACTTGGATTCTAATCTAATACTTGACCTAAATTTTGATGTGATATTTTATATGAATTATGCTTTGATTTTTGATATATCCGTTTAGGGACGGAACATGTTTTATTTGGGGGTATTATTGGAGGAAGAATACTTGGAGGCTCCTCGGCTTTGTGCTCAGGGCCTTACTTGTCGGCTCATCGGCTGTGTGCTTAGGGCCTTACTAGATGTGACGGGGTTGTATGGTTCTGGGGAACCTACACATTTTGTACGTGATGGATGGGGGTATATATATATATATGTTTTAAAAAGATCTGAAAAGTTACATGGTTTTTGGGAATACACTAGATAACCTATTCTGATCTCCTGAACTCAGTTATCCGAAATATTTCTCTGAACTGAAAGCTCATTGTCCGTTACCACTTGAAATATCAGTAGGATCTCTGCTCAGCATAAAAGTCTGTAAATTTTCGGAAACAATAAGGATATATAAATATTTATCTGTATCTGCACGTTCATCAGCATCATCTGGTAGTTCTGTATTACTGAGCTTTCCGAAGCTCACTATATTACTCAACATTGCAGGTTAAAAGAATTGTACCAGTGCAACTATCGTCATCAGTATGGGAGTTCTTCCGGCGTTGATTTCAGAGAATGGTACATGTGATTAGGGGGCATGTAATTGTATTTTGTTTTATATACGAGTCTGGAAATCTGTTTTATTTTTAAATAGTGACATGATTTTATAAGTTTACATGTTTTGATAAAAAGTTTTAAATTTTCTGCTATTTTTACAGTGAGTCGCTCCGATGACCCTAATGTGACAACCTAAATCGAATCGAGTTATCCGCATCAGTCTGGGGATTACATCCATAACTCAATCAAATTGAAAAGCTTTGATGGAGCCCTCAATCAAAATGAGACAACCACCTTTGGCATTAGGTATATAGAGGGGACGAATACAAAATTTTACGTTAAAAGAGATTAACTTTTAAAATTTTAAGAGAAAATAAACTTATTAAATTCCATAGATCGAAAATAAATTATTAATAAAAAATATAAATAAAATATTTACAATATATAATAATTTAAAATTTTTATAGGAAACAACTTCTCGGTCCATCCCTAAGCATATCTTAACTTCACCGTTCACAAGACAAACACTGCCTCGTCATTTTCTAATGCACTGCCAAATGTGTCTAACTGCAACTCCACAGAGATGAAACATAGAATATATAACGTGTAAATCTCTTTTTCGATTAGTATAAAGGTACACACAATCTCATCACAAGTGCATGTATGATTAATCCTGTGCTGTACACGTCAACCACAAGAGAGAGAATATTACAACTGTGTGCCTCTGGTCTCACCTAACAACTGTTCACTGCCAGCCAAAAAAACTCTCTCCACTGCACATACATACATATGTCAATAGACAAAAAAGAAAAGAAAAAAAGGAACAAAATTACAGCTCCATTCTTTTGACTTGAGCAGGTGAAGTTATATAATTGACAACATAATAAACACAGTATTCTCTTTTCCATACTATAATATGAACTTGAGCAGGTGAAATTGCTCCAACGTAATATGGCAGGTAGAACCTGCAGGAGAAAACATGATCCGAGCTGATTCTTGCCGAATGATGCCCAGCATCCATCAATATTCTAACGTAGCTGAGAACCAGGCCTTGGTAGTTTATTCATGGCATTTTTAGCATCCAACTTCTGGTGAAACAAACCTGGAGCCTGTCAATAGTTCAAAATGAAAGTACGAGCATCAATTTCAACATTTTGGGGTAAGAATATAACCACTTCTTTCCAACTAACATCATTTTTTGGGGGGTAAGCATGGTTAAAAGATTGTACTCTCAAAAGCTTCTTGTTGGGCTCAATGGATCATAATCATAGGCATCGCCAGTTTTTACAAACCGTCCCTTCACACGCTTTCTCACATCAGCCCTTGCTTTGCGAGACTCATATCTCACTCGCTTCACAAACCTATCATGCAGTAAGTATGAAGTTAAACATACATTCCTTTGAATGATGGAATTATGCAACTATAGAGGTTATTTGCATATATTTACATTCGCGTCTTTTTCTTTTCCTTGTAACGCAAGACAGCATCACTTCTAGTTGCTGATGGGTTGAAACTCTCAGCACATGGAGGACACCAAGGAGGATCTCCCATGGGAAGCATAGTGGAAGCCCCACAATCTTGGTAATCTCCTGCAGTGCTCTCTCCGGTTTGGCCAGAAAATGTTGGATGGGCATGCCTTGCGGTAAAATACAGAATTGAATCAGTTTTATTACTCATCATGGAATCACCAGACGCCGCGTTGCTGCATGCTGGCTGGATAGCACTGACCAGTCCAACAGATGAGCCCTGGACAAGAATATTCAGGACCAACCATAAGAACATTTGCTGCTCATCATACAGAATGAAGACCCAACACATGGAAGGAAAGGACAGTAAACTTTATTTTGGTACATTAATCACGAATGTAAATCAAGATTATTAACAGTATTAGCAACCAACAAAAACTGATAATGCATAAATAGGAATACTATTTAAAAACATCAGAAAAAGAATAGCATTTAGAAGAATGGCTATACTATCATCAGAAAAAATATAATACAGATGCCACACAGCAAGACCAAAAGAGATGAGAGAACCTTAGCACCAGCCGCCGCCGCCTGACAGTTTGAATCAGCAGCAGGCATGTCCTTTGTCCCAAATAAGCTAGCAATTCCACCATTCTCGAGAAGTTGTTCCGAATGATTGAGAGTCATCCCAAAGAGTTCTTCATACCTTTCAAGATTCAGATCAACTTCGCCCATGTTGAAGTCATCGTAGAGATCATCCTCAGAAAGTCCAGGATACTTTGTGGGAGGGCAACATGACTGCAGATTAATAAAGTAAAAAATTAGCAAAGGTTCCAAAAAGGAACATATTATCTCTGCTAATAATTAAAGGAATCCTGCAGGAATCTCAATAAGTGAACTTTAAGCACGAAATGCTAAAGCTCTTTAGAATTACTAATAACGGTAGGTTATTCTAATAACTCTTCATATATGATCAAATTGAAATTTTAATATCTATCATCAATAATCTCAACCATCCCCTTTATCATGTCTACCACCTTCACACGCCCCTTTTCTCTCTCAATTGAAAATAAATATATAATCCAGAAAGCAAAAAATGTAAGCAAAATAGGAGAGATTGGGTTCAAAATTTTTGAAACCATGGCAAAAATAAAAATAAAGTAATAAAGTACCTCTACATTATAATTAAGGACAGGCCTAACATTTTTTTTGAGAAGTACATTCAAGGCCTAACTGAATACTTCGCTATTGAATATTAACCTTAAAGTTAGTTGTTTTGGGTCAAGAAATGGAAATATCTAAAGAGACCAATAAATACAAGATTATGGTATACTGGCGGTTTACTGAAATATAATCATCTTTTACTTTTAGGCAAAACCTCAAGTAAGTTCAAGTAGAAACTAGAAAGATATTTTGGAAGTGCCTTCAGTTTCCACCATAAAAAGCAATCACGAAAAACAAGGGACAAAAATTGGCATATAGATCTTCTGCAGAAGGAACTAATCTGAAAAGAAAGTTGTTACTTGCTACTTTAACTTAAAGCTCGTTTTCTGGCCATAACGAACAGTTATCCCTGAACTCTTACTGTTAAAGTGTTTTATAGCATTCTTATAAAAAAAAGTGTTTTATAGCATCAAACGTCATGGGAATACGGACGAGTACATTTGCAAATGTAATTTGTCTAGATTTTTTAATGTAACATAGGCCTGAATGTACCTCAAGAACAGTTTGTCCAGATTTTTTAATGATATATATTCCAAATTCACCATTTACCTTGGACGATGATGCATCTTTTGATCCAGATGTCTGATTCAGACGTCGTGCAGATTTGAGTTCAGGGATTGAAGAAGTCCCACCCAAGCCACTTCCCCTATCTGTACTGCAGGTTTCATTAACTACTGCCACGCCAGTATTATCCTGGCTAATGTTGTTCTCTGTAGGGTCCCAGGAAGTACTCTCCATGTTCTCATCGATGCTCATTAGACCTAATTCTTGTCCACAGGTAGATTGACCTGCTGAAGGAGATTGCTGAAAAAATGGCCAAATGGAAGAAAGTTCAGCGGATGATGGGCAACCAGAGTAACAATTAATCGCTTGTCTCTCATGTGTTGAGTTCAAGGTAAAGGTGCCGTGTCCCATCCAATCGCAGTTCTGACAGAGTGAAACCATTTCCTCTGCGCATCTAACAAAAGCAGGTTGCGAATTGCATCTTTCACATAACAATATTCTAGAATGGCGTTTGGACAGTGCATTAGCAGAATGGACATTTCTATCACAGGACAAACATAAGCAGGCAGCATCAGACCGGCAATATACTACTGGCCTTTGATCTCCGCAGAAATCACAAGCATAACTCATGTTTCCAATCGCACTACTGCTGAAAAGAAGCTAAAACTTTTCTCCCCGATTCACAATCTTATATGCAAACAATATATCAAACTAAGACAAGCAGCTTCACAGATGATCCCCTTCTCCACTACTTGCACTTCAATAGCTGTCGTATAGAAGGGGGGAAAGAGATTAATGTTACAACTTACAAGAGAATTAAGTTCATTTTCAAGCTAAACATTAAGAAAATTGGAACAACTGCCAATATGGGGTAGCTTAGTTTACTTCAAACTCGATGATATAATGATGTACACAGAATCAAATTCAATAATGATGAAAGAGTTCACATCATCATGAGTTTAGGATGAAAACTAAAAAGTAGTTCATCCAACTTTAGGGTGAATTTAAAACAGTCAAAATTATAAAATAAAAAAAGGGGAAAAACTCTTTTTCCTTTTAGTAGAAAGAACAAGAAAAGGGGATTAACCACTCCAATAATATAATTCTAAGCAACATCGATTCTATTTTTTAAAAAATGTTAATAAAGGAATCAAAATATCCAAAAATGGTACAAAATTTATCATAAATCAAAGAAAAATATCTACAAATTTAAGCCAAATAACTCAACTCCATAATCAAACAAAAAAAACAGAGGTCACACAAACAAACCAAGAGTCAAAGAAAAAAACAAAACAAAACAAACCCGGAAAGGAAAATCAAATTAATAAGTAAAATAACAGGAGAACAAGAAATTTACCGCAGGAAAGAAGAAGAAACAAAAGGAGAGGACAACCTTGACTACTGAACAGGAAAATTTATTGAGAGTAAAAAAAATGAGCTTCTCCATATTTTTTTTCTTTCTTCTGAGAGTTTTGTTTATGGAAGTGAAGAGATAGAAATCGGTAGGTGCATATGGGAAATGCGATGGCATGAGCTGATAAAAAGTGCAAAGAGAGAGAAATTAAATAATAAAATATTTTGAAAAAGTGCAATGTTTTCTATTACGACTTGGACTTACTGGATAGGTAGTTTAATATAATATTCAAATAATCTAGTATCAATTACTATTAAATAAACTTAATTAATCCTAATGCCTAACAATCTAGATTCCGATGGTTTCGGTGATAAGTGGGAGTAACTTCCACATTTGCCCTACCCCATGTTCTATGATTTCGGTGGTTTTATGGGAAAAAAGCAGTATAAATATCTATCATGCACATAGTTTTTAAATACCAAAATCATTCAAAATAATTTCACATATAAAGAGAGAATTTTATTCAATTTAGAAGTTTATGAGTGTTTAGAAGATCTTTTAACTATTTTAGTTTTTCATATAATTATTTTAAAGTGTTCGACAATGTTTTTATCATAGTTTGATATATTTAAAGACAGTAATATCACATCTCCAAACTATCACTCAAGTTGATCTTGCTCTCTATAATAATGGGAGCGATCTAATCGCCTTAATATCATGTTCATTAAGAGTAAGGTTTCTGTTTATGTTTGTGGTTCAATTGAGCACTATGATAATATACAAGAACTATAAGTGTCTATTAAAAAAACAATTCAAAACTTCTCAAAAGTCGTAAGTTAACATCCTAATCATGAGGTTCACATCGATGAGGCTCATTATCGTGAAAGATGTACGCGATCACATTAATAAGATACAAGATTTAACAGTTTGACTGATAACACTCGAAGTTGAGATGTCTGAATTTTTCCTAGTGTACTTTATATTGAACATTTCTACCTCAATATAAGTCATTTAAGATCTTTTATAACACAAATAGAGATAAGTGGTCTACTGATGAACTTTTGAATTAGGAATAAGCTACAGTCATATTGAAGATAGGTGAGAATGCATTGATAATTACTCAATGAAAGAGATCAGTCTAAGCCAAACAAAAAGGAAAGGTTAAAATGTAATCCCAAACTGACATTAAGAAAGAGCCGAAGTGTTCCTTTTGTAAAAAGAATGGACACCTGAAAAAAGGACTATGTCAAATTTAAGAGTTAACTTGAGAATAAAAGTAAATTAATCTCACTTATTTATTTCGAGTCAAATATGATTGACGATAATTATAACACATGATGGATTGATCTTGATACTCAGTTTTTCTAAAAATTTAATTTCTATTTCAATACTTGTACCCTTGGAGTATTGTTTTAATTTTTCAAACAACACATTTAGTTTGTTTTATAAGTCTGAACTTGTTGGAAATGAGATTTTATTTGATGGTTATTACTCTTTAAAGTTATGAAATAATGTCACTTATATTGTTAGACACATTCATATTTGTACCAAATGCTATGATATAAATGAAGATTTTTCTACCTTGTAACACTGGAGACTGAGACACATATGCTATTGAAAGAATAAAGAGATTAGTAAATGATGAGGTTCTCGTTACGTTAGACTTTTATAATTTCGATACTTGTATAGATTGCATCAAGAGTAACTAAACTAATAAGTTAAAAGAAGAGAAATAAAAGGAGTTTGAACATATTAGAAATCATCCACTCTGATATTTATTGATAGATATGGATAAACAAGGTCATAAATACTACATCACTTTTATAGACGATTTCTTAGGATATATGTATCTCTACATGCTTCATCACAAGAGCGAAACATCAAAAACTTTCAAGATTTTCAAGGCTGAAGTAAAGAAACAGTACAATAAGCAGATCAAAATTGTGAAAATTAATAGATGTGGTTAGTATTAGGATAGATATACTGAAAATGAACAAGCACATTATCCATTTGCAAAGTTTCTTCAAAATAATAGTATAGTTGTCTGGTAGACCATACGAAGATCATCCAATGTTGTAGAAAGAACAAAATGAACTTCAATGGATATGATGTGAAATATGCTTAGTAGCTCTAAGTTACCTAAATTTTTGTGGGTTGAGTCTCTCAAAACGAATGTATATACAGCTGCGGCTGCGGCTGCAGGTGTTTCAAGGGTGAGGCGAGCTGCTGCTTAATTTGGACGTTATTTTGATGCATTGTTTTGTATTTAAAAATATTTTGTTTGTAGCAGCATTTTTGCGTCATTTGGTTTTGATGCATTGTTTTGTATTTAACAATATTTTTGAACATTCAATGTATGCATATAAAAGATTTATTATATAAATTAACATTTGAAATTAATATTTTTAAATCAGTATTTAAATTTTTTACCTCAATTTGATATTTGAATATATATATATATATATATATATATATATATTAAATCTTAGGATGATGCCCACGCTAGACGTGCGCTGATGAGTACCGTTAAAGATAATTAACGAGCGTCATTAAATTAATTTATAAAATGTTAAATTATAAAGAGAAAATAACTTCAGTGACCGAAAATGTCTTATAATATACGATTTTAACCAACATTTTTTGGATTTGCGAAAATAACCAACAAATTCGCAACACGAACTCCAATTTCGCAACACAGTTTCCAAATTCGCAACGCGATTCTCCAAATTCGCAACGCGATTCTCCAAATTCGCAACGCGATTCTCGAAATTCGTAACGCTAATTATCAATATAGGTAAACACAACTATTCGCCACTCAGTTTTCAAATTCGCAACGCGAATTACCGATATAAGTAAACACAACTATTCGCAACTCAGTTTTCAAATTCGCAACACGAATTAGCCAATTTTGCAACTAAATTGCTGATATAGGTAAACTCGGTGGAAAAAATCCGGTAAAAAATCCGAATTCGACAATTTGAAAACTGAGTTGCGAATTCGACAAATTCGTGTTGCGAAATGTAAAATTTTACCTCTTAAAGAAAATATCGTGAGTAAATAATAATTTGATCTTTGTCAAATTTAAAAGTGAGTAACTAATCACAATTAGTTCAATATGATTAGAAGATTTTTTTAGTTCAATATGGTGGTCACAAGTAGAATTTTGATTAATAAAAAATCTCGTTGCGAAAATGAAATTCGTTTTGCGATTTTGAAAACTGAGTTTCAAATAGTTGTGTTTACCTATATCGGTAATTAGCGTTGCAAAAATGAATTTCGCGTTGCGAATTTGGAGAATCGCGTTACGAATTTGAAAACTAAGTTTCGAATTTGAAAACTGAGTTGTGAATAGTTGTGTTTACCTATATCGGTAATTAGCGTTGCGAATTTGAAAACTGAGTTGCGAATAGTTGTGTTTACCTATATTGGTAATTAGCGTTGCGAATTTGGAGAATCGCTTTGCGAATTTGGAAACTGTGTTGCGAAATTGGAGTTCGCGTTGCGAATTTGTTGGTTATTTTCACAAATCCAAAAAAAGTTGGTTAAAATTATATATTATAAGGCATTTTCGGTCACTGAAGTTATTTTCTCAATTATAAATGACTAAATGTATAATTATAAATTAGTTAAAAATTTAGATGTAATTTAATTAAAAATACAATATTTATAAAACACTAGTTTTTAGGGTAAACTATACCATTGACATCCTAACTATTTACCCCTATTACTTTAACCACCGATTTTTTTAACTTTGTCAATTGGGTTACCCAACTATTTAAATATTGTCAATCAAGCTACCTACCGTTAAAACTGAGCATCGTAACCACTAGGTTGGACTACTAAATTTGTTTAGTGTACAAAAAATAATCTATATAATTTATAATATAGTTAATGGTGATAAATGAACTCAAACAAGAAAGAAATGAATAGTATGAAAATATAATATAATATATATATATATATATATATATATATAAGCAAATATTATAATTGATTAATAAATGAATATGTTTTATTTATATTTTAAATCACATTTAATGCAAAAATTAAAATAAAAGTGAATTTAATATGTTAGAATTGAAATGTATCATTTTACATATTTTAAATTAATAATTTGTCTTCTTATTCTAATTTTATTGAATTTGAATGTATCATATCTTATATTTTAAAATATTATAACATTGATTAAATTCTAATATTATTTAATAACTCTATATTAAAATAGACTAATTCAATAAAATCAAGTTTTCCCTAAAAATTTCTTAAAATACATAATGAATAAATAATAAAATATAAAATTCTTAATCTAACCGGGATATAAACAAGTCAATGCATAAGTTAAAATGCTTACTACGATAAGCCCTCGACTATCAGGAAAATTCTAAGTCAACGAAGCTCTTCGTTATATTTCAATTATAATATGTTAAAAATTATTTTTATTTTTTATTAGAATGATTTAAAATTATGAATAAAATACATTCACATATTAATCAATTATAATATTTGTGTATATAAATCATATTATCATATTATTCAATTATTCCATGTTGAAGTTCTTATTTGGTCATTTTCCCTTCTTTTAATTGTCTTTATTATGCCATGATAAGTTTGTCATTTGAATGGTGTAACCCAGTGATTGGGGGTGTTTGCTTCTTCTACTCACATCTTGGGTTCAAACCCCACCGACAATATTTATTGATTCATTTTATTTTATAGAAAAATTATTAAATAAAAATTATTTAAAAAATTCAATCACACAGTGACACATGTCACCATCGGATTGAGGATTAAATTTATTGACTTAAATAAAAGTTAGAACCAAATTAATAGAATGTGTAAGTAATGAAGACTAAATGTGCAATTATACAAATTTTATTAACCGTCGCATCATCTTCTCCGTTAATATTTAATGGCAAGTGACTTGATTGACAAGATTTAAATAGTTAGGTGACCCAATTGACAAAATTGAAAAATCAATGGTTAAAGTAAAAGGGGTAAATAGTTAGGTGGTCAATGATATAGTTTACCCTAAAAACTAATGTCTTTTAAATATTTTATTTTAATTAAATTATATTTAGATTTTAATCTAATTTATAATTATATGTTTAGTACTTTATAATTTAACATTTTATAAATTAATTTAATAGTGATCATTGTTATCGGTGCTTATCCACGCTCGACGAACGTTGTAGAATTTTTCTAAATCTTAAATCTAATTCTAATCCTATATAGAGGAAAAGTGAAAAGAGGACTCTAAAAAAAAGAGGGAAATGTTCCTAACAAATATAAAACTCATGACCTAAGAAAATATGAGTGAGCAAAAATTTAAGAGCTCCATATAATTTATTAAAATGAGGTCTTAATTTATAATATATATAGGCCATAGGGTTTTCCTTTTCTTAAAAAAAATACTTTAATATAAAAAATATTATTAGATTGAGATCAATTAGTTGGTTGAGTAATATCATTTTAACACACAATATTAATACATTTTAAAGATAAAATATTAATACCATTTAATAAAATTTAATTTAAACATAATTTGTGTTATTAATTAATTAAATGATTTTTTAAAAATAAAATTCCCATAAGTAGCTGGGGTTTCCATTCTAGTATATATAATTCGAAAAGAAAGGAAGACAATGCAAAAGAAAACTCCAAATTAGAAAAAAAATGAGATTTTTAGAAAATTCATTTATGCTGTTTGAAAAAAAATCTATATTTTAATAAATATTGATATTTTAAAAAATGGAGTTATTTTATTTTTTAAATTAATAAAAATTAATGTCCCATGATACTTTTCTAATAAGTCCCGTCCGTTTATTTAAACGGATTTGAAATTTGAAATTTGAAATAACATGATAATAATTGATTAAAAAAGTAAATATTATATAAAATATTTAATCTGATAGTATTAGTGAAAGAATTACAATCCCTCTTAGATTTTATTTATTTTTCAAAGAACAGAAACTCAAATGCAAATATTTGGTTTATTGCTACATTAAACATATAAATTAGTAGCTAATGACAAACACTTGTAAACTGCATATTTTCTTTTGATGCCGAAAGTAGCTTTCACTATCTCATATTCAAATTTCGGTTATTTTCTGGTGGTCGCGGTGGCTTAGTTCGGTTTTGGAGGCGGACCCCTTTGATGCGGCGGTCTGTTTTGTTGCGGAGAGGGATTGGCTCGCGGATCATTCTTCAGCGGACCTCGACGGACCCTACTTCGATGTTGTAGATTTTCTGCAGTACGGGGGGAATATGAAATAAAATTACTAAAAAAAGTTAATCATATAATTCAAATTTTAAAATTATTTTAATTATCATTCATACAATCATTTTAATTAAAATTATAAAGTATTAATATTATATGAAATCAATCTCAATGAAAAATGAAGTGTTATTCTTTTTTGAAAGCCTGAATTTAAATTAGTGAAGAAAGACTTTAGTCTAACTCAAATATAATCTAGAACATATTAAAATAAATTGATTAAATTTTAAATGTATTTATATAAAATAATTTAAATTTAATATTAAATTTTTTATCATAAATGCAATCATATCTAAATTATATGTGTGATACATCTATGCTTTTAAAATATGGTTAATATGTGTATCTGAATTGATATTGAACGCATAAACGAATAATATTAATTTAATGAAAGAACCTAACTAGAAGTTTAACAATTTAAGAAGAATTAAAAGGGATACAATTATAGAAAAAAGAATAGAAGAAGAAGAGAATTGAACCATGTAAACTGAGGGATTGTTGCATATGCGGGTGATAGATATAGGCACCAAAACGTAAGACAAAGTAATAAGAAATCAAATGTGGCGCAGCCGCTGCTCCTCCTCCTCGTCATTGTCTTTGCCTCCTATGATATGATGTTCTGTTTTTCATCCATTTATAGGAAGCACCACAATCTTACTTTTTCCTCTACTTCATGTGAACTTGAAATAGTCGCTCTTACATTCAGCGTTTTGACAGGTCAAAAAGTCTAGCCACGATCAATGCTTCTTCCCATTCATTTCTATTTTCAACCTAGTCTTTTCCATGCATCCCATAACACATATTTAATTGTTTTTTTTAATAAAAAGTAAAAATATAAATGAATTATATGTTACTTATCGTGTAAATGATTAATTTATTTAAAACGTGTAAAACTAATCATTTATCAATTCGTCTACTAAGATAAAATATTAAATCTCTAAAATAAAATTACGACTTCAAGTTCCAAGATTATGAATAAAAAGCATTAAATTGAAAAAGTCACTTCAATAATAAATGGAGACATTTTTGACATGAACCATGTACATATCCAATGGGTCTTTTTTTTAATAACTCCACTTGAAGCTTTGCTGACTGGACTTTTTCTTGGAGATTTGGTTTCACATCAAAATGAGGTTTAGTTGAAATAATCACTCGTATAAAAATAATAACCCACCACAACAAAAAGAAAAAAAAGATACCAATCTGAACATACGCCAAGGCAAAAAAGAAACCCCATTATCTAGTTTGTAGAATAATTTAAACACACCCAGATATATTGCACAACACCAACTTAAACTGGTCATATTAATAACAGGAACACATTGAACGCCTTACCTACTTTGTAAGACATATTTACAACAAAAAGGGCATTGAGCCCCCTAACTTGTATGAGAGAATTCCAGCATGGCAGTTGAACATTAACGACAAAAAACCATTACCTTACACTTCCAGTTTTAATCAGGACCCTCGTTACCTTTTAGAGATCTCTTTAGACACAATATTCTTCCATTTATCCTTAAGGTCAACCGGGAGACGAGTTGAGTGGAAAACAGATCGACCATGTTCCAAAATTTTCCTCCAGGGGATGTTTTTGTTTGCTTTAGTTGAATATTCCTGCATTAACTCCTGCAGTCGAGAATATTAATACTTCAATTCCAGCAAAATAATCAATCCAATCAGTGTAGTTGAGAAACATGCATGCCTAAACACTACCGCAATGTTCAAACTAGCAAAAGAACCAAGAGTCGAGGCCACCTTTCCTGGGCATATACCAGTGAAAGCAAGAGACATAAAGAATAGTGCATGGGGAGTAGAAACCATTTTCTTAGTATAATCGTTACTAAGAAAACTATACATGAGCTTATGTGTGTTGGAAGCTGACAACTTAAACATTCTTAATTTAATGGGAACTTTATAAGGATAATGAATTGAGGATTGACATCCTTCTAGTAAGATAGCAAAGGATGCTCGGACTTGTAGAAAAATATATAACATACACATGTACAGAAACGAAAACAGGAATGCTAGTTAACTGTTAACCGATGAAAGTTATGTTTCAAACGTAAAGAAGAATAAAGGAAACAGGTAAGTAGCAAAAATCAAGTTGAACCTATCCAAAGTTAATACATGTTAGCAAATGCATAAATAGAAAAAAGGATGAAACCATCCATAATTTCAAACCTTCAGCATATCTTCCTCTTCAGCTGTCCAGTGTAGTCTCCTACGCTTTTCAGTACAGGGCATCAAGCTGCAATTTAGATGAAAAGATAAGGTAATTTTAGAGCCTAGTAGTTAACCAAAAACCAAGACCCTAAACCATGATTCATCCCATGCCCAAGATGGGCTTTTTTTATGAATGCTACCTTCCTTCAACAAAATGAAAAACATTAATAAACTTACGACCGCTTGGTTGATTTTTGCCACTTTGCAGAGGTTTTTGCTGTTTCATTGTTTCCCTCATGGTTCAAATCCATATTATTTGCACTGGAACTTGGTTGAAATGATGATGCCTTGTTAGCTGTTTGTTTGTCATCCTTTTGACACCTGTGGAAGGTAGTTCCTACTGCATTTGGGAGCACTGGCTCTCCCTCATCAGTTTCATTATCTTCACTATTGGGATTTTCTATATCCTCGTGCATCCTTTCTCCATTCCCAACTTTGTCAGACCCATGAGTTGTAGAGATGTTTCCCTCATAAGATTTTTCTTTGCTTATCAACTCAACACCCTGTATTTCATCTTGATTATGAGGAGTGGTCACTTTATCATCGTCATTTAACCCATTTCCACAATCACCAGAACTCACTTTCTGTGTCATTGTTGATAAACCCTGTGTTGCATCCTGATTATGATATATGGTCTCTTTACCATTATTATTTAGCCCATTTCCAAAATCACCACCAAAACTCACTTCCCTTGCCATTGTTGATGCACTTGCTCTTTTAAAGCTCACCATTTCACCTTCCCCCTCTTCATTTCCACCATCCCTTCTTAAACATATAAAGTTGGATGATTCCTTCTCTGCCAACATAACTTTCTGTCTCAATTCTTTGAGCCTGGCCACTTCTTGCTTGTACAAACAATAAGGGCAGTAGAATTTACTCATTTCATCAAATTTGGGTGTCCAGGTCAAGCACGCCTCATGGAAAGCAACTGGGCAGCCACTTTCGCGGCAGACCAAAATCTGGCCACTTGTGCTATTGCATTCAAAACAATACTCTCCTTCTAACCAATCAACAACAATGCAGTCTCCGGCATTGTTACCTCTTGCACATCTATCCACCATCTCCTCCTCATCACTATCCGCTGTGTCATCGATATCTGCATGGACATCACCATTAACATTTCCATTACACATATCATCAACATCAGCATCACCATTACTATTATTATGATTATCATTTATTTGACTGGAACCAGCACCCCCAGATGCTCCATGATTCTTTCCATCTACACGGTGTTCTCCATTAGCTTCCTCCTATGCCAAAAGTTGATTATAACGAATTAGCATAAAAAAGTCATATTAGATTGACATTAATCGAGATAAACCATGTTTCGCATCTTACACTTTGACGATAGGTAAAATCGGATTCAATCTCATAGGAAGTTCTAATATTTTCCACGAATTTTCAATTTCCTCGAGAAACAACCAAAGGTCGTTCTACGAAATTTGTGGTTATCACTATGGTTATCTATATATATATATAGAGAGAGAGAGAGAGAGAGAGAGAGAGAGAGTAACAAGAAAATAGAAAATCAAATATATAAGAGTGATGTAGGAGCAGAGAGGAGATAACACAAACCGAGCCATGGCTCGAGTAGTAAGAAATTGGCTAAGTTTAGGGTTTAAAGAATTACCTTGTTTGATTTCATGGTCAGAATGCAAGAGACAAGAGAGGGCTTTGGGTCTGGCATTGGAGGAGCATCGAATCAAATCACAGGGGAGAGAAACAGCTTCTTCGGAAAGATTGTAGCAGTGACGTGTCAATGAAAATGGGTATTTAAACTTTGGAATGGATTTTAAAGGCTAGTTGTATATTTAATTTAATATTGCGTTTGATTCACGAAATGTAAGATTATTAGTGGGAATAAAAGATTACCCGGGAATAGGATTACTGAGAATGTTATATTTTATGTTTGGTTGATTTAGCAGGAATGTAAGATTACCGTGTTTGGTTAAAGGAATAAAATATTATTAGAATGTATATTTGATCAAATTGTCCTTATTATATATTTGTATAATATTATAAATTATAAAATATTTATATATTTTCTTTAAAAAATTAAATTCATAATATTTATATAATATTTTTTATAAAATTAAAAATATAAAAAATGTTTAATGAAAGAGTAAATTTTTTTAACCCCTGAACTTTATATAAAATTTTAATTATAGACTTTTTTTTGTAAATCTAAAATAATTTAATGATAAATTTGTAATTTAACCTTCGTAGAGTTTTTATTATTCAATGATAAAAAAATGATATTTTTGAAAAAAAATAATAATTTAAGGACATTTTAATCCAAAACGTCGGTAATGTTATAATACCTAAGGGAAGGGAGGTAATGACATTCCCGGTAATATACCCCAAAAAATCTACTATTGGTAATAAAATATTATCGGGAATGAGATTCCCGGCCAACCAAACATGGGAATGTGGGATTCCCACAATCCTTGAACCAAACACCCCCTACAGGTAAAGTACTCATATATTATCGTGGTTATAGGACACAACTTCTCTCGATTATTAAAATTACAAAATAATTTTTTGACTATAAAGTTTTTTTTATTGAGACTCTTGATTATTAAAGTTATAAAATAGTCACCTGATTATTCATATGTTTCAACGTCATTTTTGTTGAAAATTTGATGGCAGTCTGAGTTGGACGTTAATTTGCTAACTGATATATGATAAAACATGATCTCATAATCTCAAACGACTATTATATCTCAATTAGCATGTTAACGTCTAACTCAGACGACCGTTAATTTTTTAATAGAAAAAAGATTAGTTTGGAACATAAGGAATAGTCAGGTGATAATTTTGTAACTTTTAATAGTCGACAGACTCAACAAAGTAATGCACTATAATTAAGGGATCATTTTATAATTTTTAATAACTAGGAAATTCAACAAACCAACATCATATAGTCGAGAACTATTTGTGTACTTTATCCAAATAACTTTAATGAAAATATCGAAAACATATTTTTTTATGTTTTTATATTTTTCATTTTTTTAGAAACTATTTTTTAATTTTACAATCAAACATGTTTTTTTAAATGTTCTTTATTTTTAATAAAATTAAATATTTTAATTTTAATTTTATTAAAAATAAAAAACAGCATATATTTTATAAGCCAAACTGACTTTTTTATATTTCACATTACACATAAATGTAAAGTTCAATACCAAAAATTATATATAATTTTTAAAAAGTAAATACAAGACTAATTACATGTATATATATTCTTTGTCAATTCACATTTATTTATTATTTGATTAAAAATTTTGGTAAAGTATACAAATGGTCCCTAATTATAAGATACTACTTTGTTGAGTTCTTCGACTATTAAAAGTTACAAAATTGTCACCTGACTATTATTTACGTTCCAAACTCGTCATTTTTTTGTTAAAAAATTAACAATCATATGAGTTTGACGTTAACGTACTGATTGAGATATTATAGTCGTTTGAGATTATGAGATCATGTTTTACCATATCTTAGTCAATAGATTAACATCCAACTTAGATTGCCTTTAATTTTTTTAATGAAAAAGACGAGTTTGGTACCTAATGAATAGTCAACTGACCATTTTGTAACTTTTAATGGTCGAGTGACGAAAAAATAACACCCTATAGTTGGAACATTTTATAACTTTTCAATGTGATTCTTATATTGATTTTTTAATAATTTAATTTTGTAATATTTTTATATTTAATGTATTGAATATCTTAATAATTTTTATATTTTATATATTTTTAATTTAAATAATTGTTTTTTTTAAATTAAACAAGTTCTCAAACTTTCTAAAAAATCAATTAGGCCATCGAAATTTGCTAAAAAAATAATTAAGTTCGTCTATCATATCGCCGTTCATCTTATATTGTCAGATCAATATTGTAGATCACCATGTAAGCGTCATGACAGTCAATGTTTGATTCTGTTGGTCAAAGGATTATATTGATTTTTTTTTTCTCAATTTAAGGATCACATTGAGTGCAAAAAAGTTCAATGACTATACTAGTCCCCCAAAGTTTGAGGCCTTCAAATACCAATACATATAATTTTAATGATACTTTTGTGTACTCTTGCTTGTAACAATTTGTTTTTGTGTAATTTTTAAATTTTATTGATGCCCAATATGGACTAATATTATATTTTATTATAAACTAAAATAATTTTTGTATTATGTAATTCCTTATCAACTTTATTGTTTTATATTTACATAATTTACATGTTAAATTTATATAATAAAATTTTTAATAGTTATATTTTAATTTAATTATTCAATAATTATTTGTTCATCTATATTTTTAAAAAATTAGATATCAAATATATTTTCACTATTTTTATTTTTGAATTTAATTTTTCATTTATATTAACTAGATATGGTCATCAATTTTCAAAAAAAATGAAAATAAAAATTATTTTCTAAAAATAAAAACATAAAACAAAAACAAAAAATATTTTCTAAAATCAGACGGACACTAATGAGGCCAAGTTTCATGATAAATATTAATATTTTTAAAAAAAGTTTTGAAGTTGAAACAAGGGTAAATTGTCTCTTAATCCTTCAAAGGTACATAATTTATTGTTGACCTTCATAAATTAAAACATTTTAAGTAGACTCCAACAAATAATGTTGAGTTTTGTTACTATATCAAACCCAATTTCAAAATACAATTAGATATCTAAATTTTCTTTAATGGTATGATTAGGTACCTAATCTATTTTGCACAATTAAGTATTTAATATTTTTTAATTACACATGTTCAATTCATTGATTTATAGTTATAATTTTGATGCCATTTAGTTAAATGAATAATACAGATTTAAAAGTTATAATTTAAAATATATTAAATGCTTAATTTCGTAAAAAAAATAAAAATTGAGTACCTAATTGCACCCCCAAAAAGCAAGTATCTAAACAACTGATAAGTCCAAACAAATTGAAGAAGTTCCTTTCCTGTGAGCTACGACAGTGGGTAAGAATGAATTCATCAATTTTATAAAATTGACTACTGTTATTACAACCAAAAATTGAAAGGCTTAATTTTTTTAATAAAATTAAAGAGTTTATTTAATTTTGAAGTAAAAAAATATAAATTAAAATATTCAGAATAAAAATAGTATAAATTATATAAAAAAAAATCAAATGTCTTGTTTGAACAAATGCCCAACTGTTTCTCAACATATTTTCTTAATTTTATTCTAAATACAACTTAAAAGGACAAAATAGCATCCAACCCTAAAGAGAATGAAGCTTTCGATCTCATTAAGATTATGAACGAAGAAGTGATCCTCTTATACATGCCAAAAGCTTTCCAAAGATGAAGCGAATGGATGTTTTAATCAATCAATCTTGACGGACGAGAAAAGATAATGAACGAAATAGAATGATGTTATGAAGCCAATGGTACCTGTAGACAACATGACTGCAACCACCATGATCATGGAGTAACCGAGATAAAGAATGGCCGATACCGGACCACTCAAACTCTGTAGGTCAAATACCAGGTAGTTGATGGAGTACAGGAACACGTAGAGGGCAACTGAACCGGAGGCAAAGAAAGCGTTCCACCACCATCGCCAGTCCTCGACGCAGAGATGCATGTACGTAAGAACCAATGATACTTCGGCACAAACGATGATCAGTAGAAGGAGGACTATAAGCAAGAAGCCAAACACGTAATAAAACCTGCCAAGCCAGATGCTAGAAAGGATGAAGAAGAGTTCAATGAACAAGGTTCCGAACGGAAGGGTCCCGGCACCCAGAACGAGAAGCCATGACGGATATTTGCGTGCAGGAATCTCACGAGGAATCTGGTTTGTTCGTACAGGGTATTGAATATCTTCAGCTCTAGTACCTAAGTATCCTCCTACGAGAGTGAGAGGCACGGAGATGCAGAACCAGAGGGACAATAGTACAAAATACAGGGAAATGGGAATTGCACTGGTACTTTTGTTGCCCCATAGAATGAAATTCAATGCTGTAAGGATAACAAAGACGATTCCGGAGAAGAAGCATGCGACTGACCAGGAGAGCGACTTCCATCCTGCTGTCGTTCCCTTGAGGGTTCTCCAGAGGCGAACAGCAACATACCCTGCAGCAATACCCAAGAAAAGATAGAGAACGATCATCCCGGTTAGTAGCATTCCTCGTGAAGCCGGCGACATGAACCCCAAAGCTGCAAAAACTATAGTGACGAGGGCCATTCCTGTAATCTGAACTCCGTCACCAATCATCACGCACAGAAGCTTCGAATGATTTGGTTCTCTGAAAACATCGCCTACAACAAGCTTCCATCCGGAAAGCTCCTCGTTCATTTGTGCTTGAGCTTCTTTGTCCAGTTCCTCGTACCTTGTCAAATCCCTCCTCACAGTCCTCAAGAAAATGACAAACACAATACCAGCTAGGAAAGTGATCACCATCAGAGAATTTAGAATCGAGAACCAGTGCACACGGGAACCTTCCATCCTCAAATAAGCATCCCAACGAGACGGCCATCTAATATTGCTCTTCACAAATTCAACCTCATAAGTAAAAGTGATCCTCTCTTGTTCTCGTATTATCTGCAACTTGTCCAACTCCATGGGACAATTCACGGAGGAGATATTGTCATACATGTGGAGTTTAGTCATGACTTCCGGATCATATTTAACACTGCACGGCACCACCTCGAAACCAACTATCTCAAAACCAGAAACTTTTGTGTTATCAGCTTCAGAAATCAAACCCATCCCTCCTTCCCCAGTTCCAATTATCTGAACACCACTCCCCTCATACTCATGAACCAAGACTTTGAACTTGAGATGATTGATGATGTAATCATCGTTGCTATTCGGAGGAGAGTACCCGATTGGGAACCCAGTCCACTGAATGTTAACCCCGTTTTGTTTCGCAATCCTCATCACCGGCAAATTGTCTAGAATCATATTCACTTGATACAAATCACGAGTCCTTCGTTTCAAAAGCTTAACTTCATGCTCGTTCAAGGGGCTGGTAGTGCAGAGGTAGAGAGACTCGTTCACATTCATTCGAAACCGATAAGGGGAGTTATCAATCTGATCTCCCATGAGAAGTTCACCAATATTCTCGGCGCTTTTCTTTATACCGCCCATAGGTTTACAGTAAGGGAGAGAGTAATAACTAAAAGGAAGCTCGGTTTCAATGGAAGTCAAGGAATTAACTTTGGCATATATAGCATCCTTAGTCGAATACGTGTGCATGTAACTCCCAGGCAGGTAAAACCCACGACAAGAATGAGCAAACAGAATCACTACTAGAAAATTCCAAAAGAATCCAGGCATCTTCCTTTGTGAGAAAGCCATGATAATGGCAGATCTTGAAGATTATGGCTTTAATCTCAGCTACCTAAACTGAAACATTCAATATCAAAAGGAATCTACAAAAAAAAAAAGATTTTCATCATTCAGTTTCAAACAAATAACAAAAATCCAGAAGAAGAAAACCCAGATGCATATGTACAAAAGAACTGCATTGCACCAACTTCAAATCCAATACCAAAATGCAAGACAACATAAATAAAAACTCTTTTTTTCTTCCATAATGGTACAAAATCATAAAAACAGATTGAGATTTGCAGATTCGATCTAAATCCAGAAACCCATTTAAGAAAAAGGCTTAAAAAATAAGAAGAGAATGTTGAAGGAAGAACCTGAGAAAGATCTGGGAAATTTGAAGTTTGGTTCAAATTGAAAAAGATCGGATCTTGAATCCTTTTGGCGCCACAGAAAACGCCGGGTGAGAACAAAGCAGAAACTCCTTCCTTTTTTGTTTCTTTATTTCTCTTAATGGTTAAATATATATTTGCAAATATTTTGTAGAGAACCAAACGCAGGTTTGGCTTTATATATGTAGCTAAGGAATGTAATAAGATGAACAAAACGAAAAGGAAATTTGAGCTACAATGACTGTGACAAAGAGGTCTGTTCCCGTTAGATCTACTTCCTTAAATTGAGTTTTCCGTTGTAATTATACCAGTTAACTATTTTTAGCTCACTCTGGGAAAACAATTTTTTTGCTTTACCGAAATAGGTAATTTATCAAATTATCTAGCAAAATGCATAACATTTAATAATAATCACAATAATAAAACATAGAAGATAATATTATCATATGAACAAAGGTTGTCCATATCTTCCATGGTGAAACGGTTCAATGTTTGAATCCGTGTATGGCTTGGTTCATGAACACTTTGGCCTTTTTTTCTCAATCGGATGGAATTGCTGGATGATCCGTTGTGTTTAAATTTTTTAACCATGGAACATACCTGCATTCAAGTCTAAATGACTTCTTCAATAGTTGATCAATTACTTTTCTCTTCATGGATAACTCAGCTTCTTCATCCAATGTAACACAAGGGAACTCCCCAAGACCAGCAAGTAAACCCTCATATGGCCGCTTGACGAGAAGGAGTCTGCTGTCGGGTTTGCTTTGTTGTGATCCATCTTGGCTTGCAGATAGCTCCACGACACAAACAGTAGAAAAAATCGTTTCTTTGTTTGGCCTTTACAACCTTCATGGGATAATCTGTCACCATAGCTGACTCATCATTTCGGAAATTACGTAATGCTCGACATTGGCTTGAAACAGGACATGAAGTGCAGTTTGGGTTCAATGGGGTGCATAAAGTTGCACCTAGTTCCATCAGAGACTGGCTGAAATCCCCTGGTCGCGAAGGACCGACAAGTTGAGCTGCTAGTTTCCAGTAACAAGAGAGAACAATTTCACCATCCTTACTCCCAGACACAGAGTAATTGTAAAAGAATTGAAACAAGATGTGTTGCAGACGCTAATAAAAGCTCACCAGAAGTTCTTGACAGTAAGTTTGTCTTTCGAATTCGAAGAAATAGCTTGTAGTCTGGCAAGAACCCTTACTACATTATCATCAACTACAGGCACGGCCTGAAACACCAAATATCAGAAAGACTCCACTCGTGCTATCTCAAAAACACTTGCAGAAGCAGATAGCCTGTTTGAATGCTATAGAAGCGATTGTGAACCTTCTTCAAAGCCGAAACAGCGTTTGGAAACTCGGTTCCGCCGGCAACAATCATCTTAGCTCCCCAACAACACAAGAAAGCAATGAACATTCATGTGACAAAACGGGAATATTTAGGCATCAATAAACATTTTGGCAGTCGTCCACAAATTGAAATCAAATGCAACACAATCATCATGGACAATCACAGCTATACATGAAAGTACTAAACTGGGAATCATAACCAGTACCACCAAGAATAATTAGCTTCAAGATTTCATGACAGCATCAAACTGCAATCCATTTGTACCAGCTATAACCATGATTGAAATGTCAATGGGAGCTAAATAATCTCTGGTTATAGACATTTTATCACCATAGAAATTGCACTCAATGAGAAAAAAATGAAAATTAGAGCTAAACTCCAGAAGAAAACGAGATTTTCTGTAATATCCTTAACCTGCCGATATTCATTCACCTCCTGTAAAATACCATAAAAAGAAAAGGCTTAAACACACCATTACCCCCTAAACTATACCGTTTTTATCGAGTTACCCCTTATTAAAGTATTTTTTTGAGACGTTTTGCCTCCTAAAGTATAAATCTTTACCTCATTTGCCCCAAACAGTTAACTCCGTCAGAAAACACGCATGTATATTACATATTTAGTCACTCCATATTGATGTGGTTCTGTTTGAGTTACCCAACTTATTTTCCTCCAAAATCATTACTAAACTTAAATTTTTGTTACGTTTGGTCACCCAATTTGATTCAATTTACTTTTTAAAATTTTAATGTATAAGAATTCATTTATATTATATTTTTTACTCGACACATAAATTTAATATAAATAATATTATAAGATAAATAATAAACAACATATTAAGTTGTATGTAATTAATTTCTATTAAATAAAATATTAATTAATTATTTAAAATATCATAAACGAGAGTTACACAACGTACGAAGAAACACTAATCATTCACCAAATTTAGCAACTTTTGGCGAAATGATAAAAAAAATCACATCAAAAAAATGGTTAGTCGTGCCACTTTCGGTAAAAAAAATGTTGTGCTTTAGTAAACTTACTCGACAGGGATCGGGGTAGCAACCTTCTAATCTCATGCACCTAAACTATTTTTTTTTGCCGTTCTCACATATATCATCAACAACACTATAAAAAATTACGAGTATAAAATAGAAAAAATCAATTTTTTTAAAAGTTATGAGATTTGATTTTGAAATAAAAATATATTAATTATATTTTAAAATTTTAAAATTTACATATTTTTCAAGTGTTTTTATGAAACCAAACAAAATCAAATTCATCTTTTTACTCTTATTTCTTTCTCGACATTCTTCATATTTCCTCGACCTTCACTATCGCTTGCATTGTCTACATCGCAATCGATCGACGTCTTTAAGCTTTTTTAAAAAATTTATTCTTTTGGAGGTATTTTTATTTTTATTGGTTTAGTTGTTTCTTTTTTTAAAATATTTTCTCTTTTATTTTAGTTGTTTAAAAACCTAGATCTTGCAATGGGAAAAGCACTTGCAAAAGTCTCCATTCCAGCTTGTTTGGGATGGATTTCTTTGGACTTTGGATGCAATTTTAATAGCTGTTTTTTTGCTTAAATTTTGGTTTGGTTTCAACTTTTTGTTTTTGTTGTTGTCAATTTATTATTTAAGTTACATATTATTTGCATTATATATAACTTAATATATTATTTATTACTCACTGTATAATATTACTTATTATTGAAAAATAAATTTATGTGTCGAGTAAAAAATATAATATAAATGAATTCTTATAAATTAAAAATTTTAAAAATAAATTGAATCAAATTGGGTGATCAAAACGTAACAAAGACTTAAGTCTAGTGATTATTTTGAAGAAAAAATTAGATAACTCAAACAGACCTGCATAAATAATAGAGTGACTAAATATGTAATTTATCTAAGTATTTTTGACGAAGTTAATAATTTAGGATAAATGAGACAATGATTTATACTCTAAAGAGTAAAACATCTCTAAATATATTTTAAAGTCAACTCGATAAAAATGATATAATTTAGGAGGAAATGATGTATTTAAGTCGAAATAAAAAGAATTAAATTTTCGTTTAAACCCATTTACTATTAACTAAAACAGATTCAAAGCTCTGAAGACCTCAAGAGAAGCCTGGAAAAGGCATTGAAGGGTGGGCCATTTTTGCATCCAACGGTTATAGTTATCAATGACAGTCTGAACCCTTGTTTTTTTTTTTTGCGTATAATCATTTTTGCATCACCAACTACGTGGTAAACGATGATTGGTTCACGACTCCAGTTTATCTCGATCACATACCACAGAGTAACATGTCCTCCGAGGATTCCGAGAATAGTGGAGCACGATCACCCCTGCTTTTGTGGCTTACGTGGAACGCAATTATCCGTCCATTAACCACAATTAAAGATATTCACAACCTACACGACTACTTTACTTGCTAAACATTGTAGAGCTTGATAACCAAGTTTGGCATATTTCAATAACCTATTAAATTACAATAGGAAATTTTTTTCTATTTATAAATGGAGTCTGGTAAGATGTGCTAGATGAACTTGTAAAGAGAGAAAAAAAGTTCATAAGTGAACGAAAGAAGAAGAAGAAGAAGATGGAGGTTGGGTTTTTGGGACTGGGAATAATGGGAAAGGCCATGTCGATGAATTTGCTGAAGAATGGATTCAAAGTCACTGTTTGGAACAGAACTCTTTCTAAGGTACTTTCCATTACACTCAACCAATTCTTCTTTTCCCGGAGCTTACTTATTTTTGGAAATATTATTATCAATCAGTTGCAAATTGTTTTCATTTTTGAGATCTGATTGATGGGTTGGTGTTTGTTTTTAGTTTTATGTATTGTCTTGAAATATTCTTTCTGTATCTAATTAAAGAATTATCAAGGAGATTGATTAAATCTGACTTAAAAAAAATCAAAACTTTAAAATGGTTGGTTGTGCTTTCTTTTCACTGTCAAAATTTGTGGCAATTGCAGTGTGATGAACTGGTGGCTCATGGTGCCTCAGTTGGACAAACCCCGGCAGAAGTGGTTAAGAAGTGTAAGATCACCATTGCCATGCTGTCTGATCCTGCTGCAGCTCTTTCGGTACATACAAATTTTGGTGTAGGCATGTTCGTACATTTTGAGTCTCAATAAACTGTCGTAACAACAAAATATGTATTTTGGTGATTGCTTAGGTTTTCTCTGATAAAGATGGAGTTCTTGAGCAAATTTGCAGCGGCAAAGGTTACATTGACATGTCAACAGTCGATCCAGAGACTTCTTGCAAAATTAGTGAGGTTATTATATATACTCTTTTGTACTTGATAGTCTTGATTCTTGGTGTTTTGTTGATGTTGCAAAGAAAGTAAATTTATCTTCTGTTGAGATATGGCTATGACAGTCAAACAATGCCTTGTTCATTCAATCTTTTTTGTGTCTGTATGTTTGACACCTGTGTTTCACGAATATTCGGACATGAGTACAGAGATATGGCCTTCGAAAGATCATTCAATACATAGAAAAACTCGACACTACAAGTCCGAGTAACATAAGTATTCTATTCTTCAAGTTCTAAGTTTAAAACTGTGTTTTTACCCCCAAAAAGTTCATTTTGTTGCATGCTGCATGCAAAGAGATTTGTTTATTATTGAAATGGTGCCATGTTATTATGTTACTGTTTTGCTTTCATGATAGAAGTCCAAAGAGATTTTAGAAAACAATGTTTTTAAAGCTCCTTGCTGGAGGATTATAATGAAACACATATGATTTACTCTTTGATATTCTCATATTTACTGATTTACCTTTTAATTAATGAACCTACTCATTTCTCGCTTCTGTGGGATATCCATAGGCGATCACATCAAAGGGTGGCCAATTCCTTGAAGCCCCTGTTTCTGGTAGCAAACAGCCTGCAGAAACTGGTCAACTGGTGATTCTTGCTGCCGGAGAGAAGGTAAATTGGTGAAGTAAATTTTTGTATCCGTGTTTGACACATATTCTGACACGGGTATTTGAATATGAGTGTTGTATAAGTTTTCCTTTTTCTCATTTTGTGTTCTAGAATCAAGCAATCAACCTCATTTTCTGGAAACAGACACCTGTGTGAATTTTGTAGTCTGTTTCTCCAGCTGTTCATTTTTCTTGAAGTATCCTTATCTGACACTCATATTCAGAACATATTCGGACATGGATGATGGATATGGCTCTATCTATATAAACTCTCAAAATACATGGAAAAACTTCGAAAAAATTGAACATATCCATGTGGGACATATACCCTTACATATTCATTTATATTCATTGTGTGATAAAACTCATCCTTTTCCTTGCAACATCCAGCTAGAGCTTCTATCGACTAACATTTTAAGGTTAAATGTTCTAGTTATTAACTGTTCTTTCGTATCTATAGTGAAAGAAGTACGGGAGATAAAGAGTTGAAGAACATCCATTTTCTTCATCATTATTGCTAATATACCTATAGCATGCAAATTTATCTTCACACGGGTATGTAGGCATTGTATGATGCAGCAGTTCCAGCTTTTGATATCTTGGGAAAGAAGTCTTTCTTCTTGGGACAAGTTGGAAATGGAGCCAAAATGAAACTTGTTGTCAACATGATCATGGGCAGGTAATGGTGGTTCTTCTCGATGTCCTATGCATATTCGAACGTAGAGTTTGGGGATGTGACCCTTCAAAGTTACACTCAAGTCCGAGTAACTTTGATGAATATGTTGGAATTGTCAGTTTTGCATGGTTGGTAAACCTTTAAAAGGAAAAGGGAGAACAACTTTTGCAACGATGAATGCATTCATCATAGTTCTTTTTCCTCTGCAGTATGATGAATGCATTTTCGGAGGGACTCATACTGGCCGATCGAAGCGGACTGAACCCACATGACCTTCTTGATGTGCTGGTAAGATTGCAACTGATCAATATTCTGTCAAATTGTGGCAACTTGGAGTTTGACTAACCTACTTTCTGGCAGGACTTGGGTGCCATTGCTAATCCGATGTTCAAAGGAAAAGGACCGGCCATCCTCCAGAACAACTACTCCCCTGCATTTCCTTTGAAACATCAGCAGAAAGACATGAGGTTGGCTCTTGCCCTTGGGGATGAAAATGCACTACAAATGCCGGTAGCTGCCGCTGCCAATGAGGTCTCCGTTCGTTCATTCTTTCTTGTGCTTTGCCGTGCTAAATATGTTGTGTTGTTATCTTATATTTTTTACATGGTGTAGGCTTTCAAGAAGGCTAGAAGCATGGGACTGGGAGACCTGGACTTTTCAGCTGTGGTTGAGACGGTGAAGGTACTTAAACATTCATCTTGATAGCATGGATTTATAATGTCATGGAGGGGACCATACTTGGTTAAGGATTTAGGCTTTCATTCTTGGATTTATGAAGACGACCACTCAATGTTAAGTATGAATCTGGAAATTTTCTGCAACTTCAAGAGTTCCTACAACCACTGTATATGTCAAGTTATTTATTTAATCAAGCTTAACATCCCACACTCGAACTATTTTATATGCATAACGAACAAATACGAATCATAGAGATTCATTAATTGGTTGAGTGATAATAATGTTCATTATACTAGAGATTTTGAATTTCAATATTTATATTAAAAATTAATACCTCTGTACTTAATAAATAAATGAATACAAATAATTCATTATGAATATTATTATTGGTGTTGTTTGAATAAGTTTAATATTTAAATATTTTTAATGTATTATGTATAATTTTATGCATAATAAATAAATTGTATGTCATTAGAATATATCATTAGAAATAAAGATAAATGCATTTAATTTTAAAATTGCATAAAATTATATGCCAAAATTAAGTTTTAACTTATATTATAATTTGAGAGAAAACAATAAACAATATTCTATAAAATAATCGTCTTTACTAAAAACATATTTTGAGGTTAAATCTACGAGATAATGTGTTGGAATTATTTTTTTCACGTGATAACGTTCTCCCAAAATTAATTGCTGAAGTAGGGCGAATTGCACAGTGTTGGCCGTAGGTCGCCATGCCTTCCGGGCGACCTACGACGTGACAGCTTCAGACGTCCCATGCACAACCCAACCCATAGGTCGCCATTCACTCCCAGCGACCTCCTAGGTCGCCATGCACTCCGAGCGGCCAAGGAGGTCGCCATGCACGCCCGACGACCTTGTCTCCTTGCATGGCCATGTGATATTTCTTCACGTCGCGCTCTATGGATGCAACGCATGCATGAGGGAGCAGAGAGTTAAAGCTTGGTCGTCGGGAATCTCCCAGCTATGACATGCAGAGCGTGCAGAGGGTTAAAAGTTTGATCGCCAGGCGTGCATGGCAACCTCCTTGGTCGCTGGGAGTGCATGGCGACCTATGGGTTGGGTTGTGCATGTCCCATGCTCATTCCCTCGTCGGAAGCAGCCATGTCGTAGGTCGCCCGGAAGGCATGGCGACCTACGGCCAACACTGTACAATTCGCCATACTTCAGCTATTAATCTTGGGAGAACGTTATCTCGTGAAATAAATAATTCCAGCACATTATCTTGTAGATTTAGCCCATATTTGATGTGAAGATAAATAAAAAATGAAAGATTTTTAGGGATAATATCAATTTTTTATTCTTGTATTTTAATGGATGGCAGTTTAAAAAGAATTTATATCAATTCAATTAGAAAATTAATATTTTTAATAGAATTAGAAGATTAAACTAAAGTCAAGTCATTTAACTACTTAATGACACATGTCACCATATCATATTTAATATAGTTCAGAAAAAAAAAACAATTAAACTAAATTAAATAGAATATTTAAGTAATGAATAGTAAATATATGATTATTTTTAATTATCACGTTAACTTCTCTAAAAGAGAGATGATTTGATTATATCATTTAAATAATTAAATATTTAATTAAAAAAGTTAAAAGATCAATGTTTAGATTAATATTTCTTCATAATTAAAATGTCATCGATGAAGATTATTTTTTTTCAAATAACAGTATAATAATATAGAAATAAATGGGAATTTAAGTATATAAAATATGGAATTTAGTTTTGGCCTTTTCGGAATCACCCGAAGAAATTCCAAACGAGTCTTTTTCTCCACCTTCTACTCTCGTCTCTTTCTCTTGGTGTGATGTTTCAAAATTTACGACTACCAACTACCCATTTTTCTTTACCAAATTTCCAACCTTATAACTAAGACATTAATTTAAATTAGTTATGCCTTAAATTCTAAATTAATATTCTCATGTCATTTTGGCAATGACGTATCAACCTCGCTTTCCTTGAAGTCGTTTCTTAATGAATTTTAATTACTCACTCAACCACCGATATTATTAACAAATCTCAATTAGTCAATTTTTAATACTTTGTCTTACTGCAATAATCCAACTAACGCGTCCATTGCTGGCGATGGTGTCCCTTATAAAACCACCACCATTGACTGCCATCGGAATAAGCACTCTATTCCCCTTTTCTTCCTTTTCTTTCTGCAATATTTTTATCCTTCACAATTGATTATGTCGACTCCATATCCCGACGGAGGCGATCCAAACTCATGGTTTGCTAAGAACGGTGGGGGTAGCAGTGGTGGAGGCGGAGGCGGCGACAGTTCTAGGACGACTTTTATTTGGATCGTGGTGGGAATATCAATAGCTATTCTGGTGTTGGGCATAGTTTATTATTTTATGAGGAAAGACAAATCCTCTGTTAATTGCTTCTGCTGCAAGATTAAATTTGGGTCCGGTCACCACCACAGTCAGTCCAAGTGCTGATATTTTAGTTCTCAAAGATATTAATAATGGTTTATTTCACAAATTGTCATGTAATTTCCTGTTTATTTGTCTTATTATTGAATTCTCTGATATGAATTTTATCAATTGATCACTTCTGTTGATATTTGAATAATTTTTACATAATATCAAAATTAATCTTCAATATTTATCAAAATAATTATTTTACGATATAAATTATAAATAGAAAATATTTATAATATATAACAATTTAAAATTTGTGAAAGTTAAGAACCAAATTACCAAGAACCAAATTTGGGCTAAAATTGAGCCCAAAAACAAGTTAAGAAAACGAAACCTTCATCTTCTTCCTCTCTCACTCTCTCTCTCTCTCTTATTTGGAAATTTCAATCTTCTTCCTCTCGATACGCGATTCTGGCTGTTTTCTCTGGGTCAAGAAGAAACAAGGAAAAATGATTCGAAGTCGGTTGCTATGGTTCACATTGGGGTTTTCGGTCACAGCGGCTTCAATCTCTCAATTCATCTATAGAGACCTATGGACCGACCGTTACGCCCTTAAATCTGATGTACTAGCACTTTTTTTCGGTCTCTGAAATTTGGATTCTCTCCAAAAGCTTTCTTTAATTGATTTAGTATTATTTGGTTTTTAGTTTATTTGTTTGTTTTGAAAATTTTGCAGATGAAGCAGAAATTTGATGCTTTAGAAACTAGGGTTTCGAATCTGGAATTCGGTCCCTACGAAGAATCCAAATCCACCTCAGGTACTTCTAATTTTATATTTTAAATAGAAACTTTACATTCTATGGATTTTAATTTTATAATCGATTAACTAGTCAAATTTGATGTTTCGCTTCAGAATATTAATTTTGCATGATTTAAGTTTTTAAATGTTACATTTTTGGTATGCATTTGGAATATAAAGAACAGAAAATTTAGCAAAAATGCTGTAGAATTTCATGATTTTGCTTGTTCGCCTTTGAAATACTAATCATTTGTTCTAGAGAAGCTCACTGTAAAGGAAATTTCTAATTACTTGATATAAGATTAGATGCAAGAATGTTAAACTTGTCTTAAATCTTAATCGATCGTGTGTTTATGCGTAAATTTTTTGGGTCTTCGGGTATTATATACATAATGTACTTCCATTTATTGCATCGACCTCTATTGTGTTTATACTTAAAAATTTGTATGGCATTCGGCGATTATATACATATGTACATCCACTTGTTGATTGACCCCTATCATGTTGATACTTCACAGTTTTCATAGTATAGGCGATTATGTACTCTGTCTGTGTAGCTCACAACTCAACAAGCTTCCTTGTATACTAAAAACGAAAAGGTTTTATCTTGTATGGACTCTCCAAATTGGTAGGAATAATGAAAAAGTGAAAAACTTACTCTTTAGCTTATAGACTGGGAAGAATATACATTTTTTGGTTCCCAAGTTAGTTTAATTCATTTTGCTGGTTGGACGGGGTAGAGTATATACATTTTTTGGTTCGTTTGGAATCTTTTTCTTCAATTCACTTTTTTGATTCATTAATGACCCCAAACTAGTAAATATCGTCCTCTATTCTTTATGGCAGGTTGATGGCTGTATTTGTTGTGGAATTCAGGACTTTTTATGGTTTGTACTTTGAATGCATTTGATTTTTTGTTTTTATTAGATATATATGTTTGAGGTTGAAACAATGAGTGGAGAATACCTTTATTTATGACATCTTGATTCTTGAGCGATGTTGTTGTTGACTGATTGTTACCTCCTTGCACTTATAGTATCTTTAGTTTCTTCTAAACCGGAATAAAAGTGAACGATTCGATCTTTGTTCGATTGAAGCTCATTTTCGAAGTACTTTATTTATATTAGGGCGGAAGGATTTATTTATATTAGTATGAAACTAATGAACTAATTTACATGGTTCAGTAAAATTAAAAAGGTTAAAAGGGAGTCCTAATATATATGCTTCTTCCACCATCGTTTTCCATAGTTATCTACATAGGGAAATTCGGAACATGGGTAATGTTTCTTTTACAGTAACATCATTACCAGGTCTACTCATCATCGTCGTTTGGAAATATCTGATATTTTCATCAGCATCTCCGCTGTATTGAATGCAGTTGTCGATTTGAATTTGAGCCGATACATATTGTATGCCATAAAAGTAGAACGGTGTCGTTATCAAATTAAGGATTTTTCGAAGGTTAAAATTTTTGTTTGAATCAAAGGGTCAGTCAAGCATGGTCAAATGGTGCCATCTTAACTGTCCAAGCATGCCAAATTAGCTTTTCGTAAGATATGGGTAACAGAGGTTAACGAATGAGTGACTGTCTTGTCAAAATCGATACTAATAATGATCTTTGTATAACATTTTGAAACTAAAAGTGATAAAAGAAGAAACCTACCTAAACTTTAGTGACCGTTACTATAGTTTACCCTATTTTAAAATTTAAACTCCGTTATAATTAAAAGAGTTAATTGCATTCATATCTCCTCAAAGTATGACCATTATTTTAAATTGCTCCCTAAACTTTTAAATGTTCCAATTGCATCCTTAAATTATGACTATCATTCTAAATTAGTCCTTAAACTTTTGAACATTTCAAGTTCATCCTCGAACTATGACCTTCATTCTAAATTAGTCCTCAAACTTTTTTAACATTCCAATTTCATTCCGAACTATATGTATATACAAATCACATCCCTTGTTAATAAAATTGTTATCCAAAATATACTATTATATGTTTGAAAGAAATAAAATTTAGGTTAAACTATGGTTGAAACTAATTAAATATGTGGATGAATTTGGGGATGAAATTAGAAAATTCAAAAGTTTTAGGATTAATTTAGAAAAGGGTCAATTAGAATATTTAAAAGTTTAAGGACTAATTTAGAATGAGAGTCATAGTTAATGGATGAAATTAGAATATTAAAAAATATAAGGATCAATTTAAAATTAGGGTATAGCTTGAGAACATGTGATGAAATTAATGAGAGTAATTTTTATTGGGCCAAGCGGAGCACGTTGAATATATTCCGACAAGATGCAGTTAAATTAGGTGTAAGAAACAAGGGTGAATATCGTTGTCTGAATCAAACGTGGCACAACTTCAAGAGCACGCCTCATTTTCACTGACACCCATTTACTTTACAGCTTACTTCGAAATGCAGACACAATTCAGACTGCTCCTTTTAAAAAGAAAAAGGAAATGATATGAAGTTGCACGAACTAACAGGCTAACAGCAGCACCTAATATACCTTGGCATTCCTCTCTAGGGATTGAAGATTAGCAGCCACACATCCACTTCAGAAATGGACTGATAATTCCAATTTCCATCAAATTAGGTCACTCTGTAACTTCATTCGCTTGGAATCAGTCAGGTAATTTCTTTTCTACATCTCTTTACCTGTCCTGACCTTTCCTTTTCACTCTTCTCTCCGGATCGACTCTCTTTTTCTTATTTTTTTTCTCTTCAAATTCCTTTAGTTTTTTTTTTCTTTTTATGCTTTCAAGATCCTTCGTTTTGAACTTCCAAATTTTGTGTTTTTATTTGGTTAATTCCTGCAGCGAATTAGTGTTTCACCATGTCTTCTGAAGTTATCTTATTGATTTTCAATTTCCACCAATTATTGTTGTTGAATTGTTGGTAAATATTCTTGTTGTGAATATTCATCTTACTTCAAATGCAACAGCTAGTTCGATGGCTGCTGGTGCGCTTGGTGCAATCATCAGTCATTTTAGTCATTTAGTGGGGTTAGTTCATAGTTAACTTAGAAGAATATGTATTCATGACTTGTTTTCTGATTCTAGACAGAAAAATATGCGATGTTGTATACGAGTATTTTCTTGGACAGATGCTTGGTGACATCTTTTCGTTGACTGCTATGCTATCTATATATGGTTTTTAAACTGGATTATAATTATAGCTTTTGACATTTTCTTGATATACATGCGTTCAAGTTGTGGTATTTTACCGTTTTTATGGATATAACTATGTAAGGCCTCAACTTTGTTGCTTTTTAGTTTTTACTTCAATTTCATCTGTTGGTATTGCTGTATTTGATTAGTAACTTGTTATTGTGTACACAGGCAAATTTGACATCTCTGAAAGAGATTGTGTTAATAGTTGTGCTGAACTTTATCTTCCATGTAATTCAGTTTCTTATTTTATATTTTCTGTTCATCTTTTCCTTTTGGTTTGAAGAAGGATTGTGTTCTTTAGAAAATCGGTTTGATTATACATCTTTTCTCTTGTACCACACTAGGGGATCTGATCCCTACTGATGTCCTCTTTCAGTTTTTATTCCATGGAAGATACACAGTCAGTTGTGATACTCATAGACTCAACAGCTTCTAAGATACGACAGCTTCAGAAAGCATTTGCTGAACTTGAAAGTCAGCGAGCTTTAACACTTAATCTAAGATGGAAAGAACTTGAGGAACATTTCAGTGGTCTTGAGAAGTCCTTGAAGAGACGCTTCCATGAGTTGGAAGACCAAGAGAAGGAGTTTGAGAAAAAAACAAGGAAAGCTCGTGAAATGTTGCAGAAGCGTGAAGCTGGTGTAGTAGCCAACGAACAAGCTACATTGGTGACGCTACAAGAAAAGAGAGATGCTTATGTTTTTGCCATTACTAATGCTCTAGAGAAGCACATGAAATCATCATCTCAGCAGCCTGCTGATATTAACTGTAATTTAGACAGTGTTGAACTCTCATCTGTGGAGAAACCACCTGATTCGGTAGCTACTAAAAATATCTCGGAGGATGTCAAAAGTTCTTTTGAAAATGGAAATTTCAAGGTGAGATCTTATCCCCAATTACTAAAACTATGTGAAGAGATGGACTCTGAAGGACTGCTGAAGTTTATTTCAGATAACCGTAAGAACCTTGCTGCCCTGAAGGAGGAAATTCCTTGGGCGTTGAAAGCTTCAGCAAGCCCAACCCGCTTGGTCCTGGAATCTTTGGAAGGATTTTACCTGTCAGAAGTGCCACATGTAGATGGAAAAAAAGATTCAAATCTACTAGGACTTAGACGAACCTGTATCATGTTGATGGAATGTCATAGCTTCTTGCTATCTAATCTGGGCATGGTTTCCATTTCTGCTCTAATCTCAGAGGATATTAAGGACAAAGCAAAATTAATTGCCGAGGAATGGAAACCAAAGTTGGATTCTCTTGACATGGATGCTAGCAGTGGTAACTCATTGGAAGCTCATGCTTTTCTGCAACTTCTACTTTTGGTATTGCTTCTGACTTCAATGAAGAACAACTTTCGAGGCTGATACCTATGGTCTCTCGTAGTCGACAAGCAGCTGATCTCTGTCGATCCCTTGGCTTATCTGGGAAAATGTCAGGTATAATTGAAGTTCTGGTGAATAGTGGAAGACATATTGATGCAGTTAACCTGGCTTTTGCATTTGAGCTCACAGAGCAGTTTTCACCTGTACCTTTGCTGAAATCCTACTTGAAGGAGGCAAAAAAAGCTTCTTCACAAGTCAAGCCTGGAAATGCCTCTCTCACTGCTCAGGTATGTTCTTTATTCCACTTCTTCTAGGTGATTGGTTTGCCTAATATTGGCTGAATATATTTTGGTTGACCATTAACTGAGTGTTTGAGAGGAAACAGTTATTTTTGTTTCTGCCAACAAGACCTCGTCTGAAGCAGATTGGATCAGCTTTCTGGCCAGTTAGCCATTCTAACATCCTTGAGTCTTGCCTGACCATTAAGTATGGTTTGGCTAGTTAGTTCCTACTTCAACCGACTTCTGCAAAATGACTCTATTTTGCTTAAATCTATTTGCATGTGTCGGTTTGTTCTTGCTACGTGAATATAAGAGTATACTTTGCCAATATTGATGTTCTTGAGCCTTTTCTTTTCAATTCTTTTTCTGCTGCATTTTTGTAAATGAATGAAATACTGTCTTCTGCATTATCAGACTGAAGTTATTGAGAGAGTTGACCACTCTCAAGGCGGTGATCAAGTGCATTGAGGAGCATAATCTTGAGGAGCAATACCCTTTGATCCACTTCAGAAGCGGGTTCTCCCGTTAGAGAAGGCCAAGGAAGACAAGGAGAGGGCAACTGAAGCTGCTAAGCCTCAACCCAAGAGGCCTCGTGCCAATGGTGCCCGAGTCACTAACGTAGCTGTTGGCAAAACATTCTATCCTAGAGTTACTGATAGGCACGTGCAGTACGTGTATGACAGACCCTATGTTTACCCTGTACCTGCTGACAACCCAGCCACTCTCCTCTTGGTTCTGCCACCTACAACTTCTCCCCCAACCATGTGAACTACTTCGGAAATGGGTACCAGTATCAGGCTCCGTATCTTCACTAATTTCCGCACATGTCAAAAGGGTAACTACAATCCTCTCACTTTAGCTGTTAGCCTTAACCTTTCCGGTGCAGTGTATGAATGGATTTAGTATTTTAAAAAGAACAAAAAAAATGAAAAAAAAAGTTTTTAATTTTAATCTGGTGTAGACGAAGATATTTTAATCCTCTAATATATGCAGTCTGTTTTATATGTATGTCCCCTGAATTCTTTAGGGCATTTTCTGTTTTGCCACTGAAATGTTTAAGTAGTTCTCTTTAAATTTGTGTTATAAGCAGTAATATCAGATTGAGTACCGAGGAGTGAAGACATGTTTATTAAGGATGGATATGGAAAGTTTAAAACAAATGGTAAAATTAATAACCAAAGAAATCTGTCCAAATAAATACATTAGCTACGAGCATGAACTTTTGCATCCAAGGTTAGTTAGCATCGTCTCCAAATTAAGAGCAAAGATGTTCATTGGTTTTATATCTCAAAACTGTTGCATGATAAACTAATTATTATAGTATACAATGATAACGATAAACATAAACTATCACAAAATAAAAAGAAACGAAGTATGACATTAAAGTTTATATTAAAACTAATTGATAAAAGAGGAGAATTTATTACACTAAAAAGATATTATAAGACCAACAACCAGCTGGTCTAGCGGTTCAAATCATGACGTTTGCAAATGAAGTAAAATGGGTTGGGAGAGTCGCTCTCTCCTCTGCAGTACCCGATTTGGATTAATCGATTAATAGATCGAATACACATGATTTATTCAAAAGAGAGATTATAAAAGGGTTGCGAGCATATAAGACTTGAAAGTTAATTCATTTATATCAAACTTTCAAATTTTTAGTATTTATATTTATATCAAATTAATTTTTTATTTTTAATCAATATCTGACTCTGAAGTATAGTTTTATACGATAATTTAACATATTTGAATGACACTCTCATTTTATTACTTTATATATATATATATATATATATATATTATTTTTTTAAAACAAATTATATCATAATAGTTTTTAATAGTCTGGCGTAATACTAAAAATAGTATATGTTTATTATTTTTCTTAATATTAACAACAAACATCGTGTAAATATAATTATTCAAATTTAAAATCTTAGAGCGAATAACATTTTTTTAATCATTGATGAATTCAATTAATTAAACATAATTTGAAATATATAATTGTAACACTAACGTTATATAAAACATCAAGATGCTTGGATTATGTGACATGAAAGCAATATTTGGGGGTGCTATAGATGGATGGATAAGAGATAAGATTCTGACATTCTCTCCACCAATAAAAAACATGCAAAGTAAACACATCTTCTTCCTTGGCCACAAATTTAGCAGATATTGATACTCTTTGCCCCCCATCTTCTCTTACCGCCTGTCTCTACATATTTCAACTTTTTCTTCTTAAGTCCCTCTGTTTTTTTTTCTTCAAAATTTGATTAACCAAACTGAACCTATATGGCTACCATTTGTTCTCCGATGGCGAGTCAGCTGAGGAGCAGCTTTACGTCATCTGTTACGAGAGCACTTGCAGTCCCCAAGGTTATTTCCGGAGCTCCATTCAGAGCCTCACCCGCCAAGACCCGCTTCACTGTCAAAGCTATTCAATCTGATAAAGTAAGTAAAAGCTCCCCATCACTCGGTAAGACTTCCATAGTTATATTCTGCATCTTATTTATTTTAAAAATTTAATAATTAATAATAATTTCAATTAAAATATTATATTAGTATAAGTTTTAATTTAAAATTTATATAATTAATAATAATTTCGATTATAATTAAAAATATTATATGAAATTTTTAATAATAATTTTTTATGTTGTAATATAATAGTTATACAATTTATATATTTTATTATAAAAAAATATAATAATTTTAATTTTTGCCTAAAAATACTTATAATTTTTTTAGTTACAACCTATTACATTTTTTAAACCATATATTTTCCTTCCATTTTGCAGCCAACGTATCAAGTGATTCAACCCATCAACGGTGACCCTTTCATCGGAAGTCTTGAAACTCCGATCACATCAAGCCCTTTGATCGCTTGGTACCTCTCAAACCTTCCGGCATACAGGACGGCAGTGAACCCACTTCTGAGAGGCGTGGAGGTGGGTCTAGCCCACGGCTTCCTCCTAGTGGGTCCGTTTGTTAAAGCGGGTCCTCTAAGGAACACAGCTGTTGCAGGTCAAGCCGGGTCATTGGCAGCTGCCGGCCTGGTCGTAATCCTCAGCATTTGCTTGACGATGTATGGCGTTGCATCGTTCAACGAAGGAGATCCTTCGACAGCCCCGAGCCTAACCCTGACTGGGAGGAAGAAGGAGCCGGACCAGTTGCAAACGGCGGAGGGATGGGCTAAGTTCACCGGAGGATTCTTCTTTGGAGGAATATCGGGTGTCATTTGGGCTTACTTCCTTCTCTATGTCCTCGACCTTCCGTACTTCGTTAAGTAGATCGTATCTATGCGTTTAACTTCGAGTGATTTCACTTCAAAAAAAAAAAAAAACTTCGAGTGATTTCTTAATGTAAATCTATGTACTTTGGACCTACCGTTGGGAACAAATCTTAAGTTATCACTAACTACTTTCTAAACCAAAAGAGGAAGGTCTCTCGGCACTTGCAAACACTTGATTCAAGGATAAATGAAACCTTCCCGTTAATCAAGCCAAAATAAAAATAAAAATGCGGAGAAATTATATTAATTAATAAAAAAATAAAAAAAAATAGACAATTTAGAATCTTCTCAAATTTAAACAACGTTTTTAGATTTTATATCCCACTAAATTGGGATTAAAATAATTAATTAGAACTAAATTGAACTTTAATTATAAATAGCAATTTATCTCTTTAATACTTTGATATGTTATGTATGCATGAATCCAAAAAGATTTGTTGGTTTAATCCCCCTAAAAAAATGTACAAGATGAAAGTCAAATCCGAGTGAAGTAGTGGCGGATGTACGTGTCTTTTTAGGATAGGTACGTATTTATTTTAAATTTAAATTTTTATGTTAATTATTTATTTTTTTTATGTTCATTTTAAAATTTTATTTATATTTACTTCATACAAAGGTTTTTGTTATTAATACATACGTAGTCATTCTAAAAAATATTTCTAGATTCACAAATGGGTGAAGTATAAAGAGGGACAGAAAGGGGAGACGAGTTTGTTGTTTACTTGATGGGCAAGTCATTGGTTCTAGATAGGAAGACAATAAACGAAACATCGTGGTAAGGGAGATTAAGCCCTTCGTAAAAGTTCCACTCTTACGCACGTAAGACAAAGATGAAGCAATCCGTAGGCGGTTGGTCAGATTTACAAAGTCAACCTTTTACTTTTACATTGCCTATATATATATATATAACATGTTATGTATATATATATTGCATTACATGTTGAAATCAAATCAGTGAACGTACCAAGTACAAAAGCAACAGATATTGAATCATGAAGATGGAGAACCAAGTGTTGCTCTTATTTGCTATCTACTTTAGTCTCCTGGGTGAACTAAGTGGCGAAGATGGTGTTATTAGACAGGCGGTTGATGTCGGGTTAATCGTCGATATGGGATCGAGGGAGGGGAAGATCATCCACAGCTGCATTTCGATGGCGATTTCCGGGTTACGTAGCTCAACTCAAATGAGGATACTTCTCCACACCAGAGACTCCAAAGGGGACCCTTTCCATGTTTTATCCGCTGGTATTTAACCTCTCTTTGCCTCCAACCATCTCACTTTTAGTTAGTCAATGATATGCTCAGTGATTTTAAAATGTTTATACTTGGATTTTGTCAAGTCAACTCGTAAGGCTTACATATATGAATGATTTAGTCAAATTAATTTTTTATTATTATTTATAAAACTATTATTATTATTATTATTAAGGTTAGTGACAGATTTAGAAATTAAAAATAAGAGTTTAAAATTTAAATACTCTATTCTAAATAAATTTGAGTTTGCAATTTTTTTATTTCTATTAACAAATTAAACTAAATTTAACGATTTTTTTTCCAAAATAATGGGTGTCAATTGCTCCTTAGAGAGCCTCATATATCCATCCCGGATTAAGGTTAGAATCCACTTATATCTAATATATATTTTTTCTAAAATAATATGTGTATGATTTCTCCCTAAATAGCCGTATACATCCGCCCCTAATTAAGGTTCCACTTATATGTAATAGGATTATTTTTTATTTTACATCTTTCAAGATTATTGGATAAATAAAAATAATTTTTTTTTATTAATATCTTCCAAAATTTGAGAGTTTACATCTTCAAGTTGAAATCTCATATTCTAATTATTGGATTTATATCGATTTTTTCTCTCAACTATATATTGTATTTATTGTGTATATAAATATTCCATCTTCAAATGGTTGGCGTTAGTAGTCCCTTTTACCAAGTTAGACTAATTATTGCAGACGAAATTTCCCGGCAAAGATCAAGGGCAGGCTGTTGCTCCACATTATCTAAGTATACGTATCCCTGTTAAGATTAGGGTAAACTACTCTCTCGGTCGCCAAGCTATTAAACTTCGGTAACTAAACTTGTTTTTTTTACAAAATCATCACTAATGCTATTTTCTATTTTGATTATCTATTATTAAAAACTAAACGTAATAATGACATGATTTTTGAATGGGTCACACCCCGGGTGGTGCAACCTGAGCCTAGAGTGGACTTCACTGTCGGCATACCCCAAGTTTAGAGGGTTTAGAGTCATTTCACAATTTCTAATGGCGGAAGTAGGGATGGACATAGGTCGGGATTTTGGTCCACCCGACCCGACCAAAATAAATGTTCACCCGACCCGAACCTGACCCGATATATAACTTAAAAATCCGACCCGACCCGAAATAAAAAAAAAATTATTCAATAAAAACAATGACTTAATTGGAAAAAATATATAGAGAGAGGGGTATTATTGTAATTATTCCTAAATATTTAAAGTAAAATTATATATTCTTTCGAGTCGGATATTTTTACCCTAAACCCGAACCCGACCCGAACCCGATTTTTTTTTAAAAAAATCCGACCTGATCGGGTGGAATCTGTCGGGTTCATGTCTCATGCCCATCCCTAGGTGGAAGTCTTCGATGTACCAATGAGGAGCCACAATTGAGATTTCACGTCCATCTTAAAGTTGTATTTTAATATCAAAGAATAAGAAATTGATGAGTTCTAAGTTAAATTTATGAAGTTTAGAGTATTATCCAATAAAACGGAGGTCGAATTCACATTCAAAAGGTAATAGAAGGTGATTTGAAATTTTTTGGATTTAACGATCGTTAGTGATAACTATTAACAGTGGTCAACATGGTGGTTAGTGATGGTTTCTATCTAAATATGAGTTTAGAGAATATAGAGAAATATGAGAAGGATCAAATTGAAAGGATTTTTAAATATTGAGAGTTAAATTTATTGATATATTTTAAATTATGATCAAATTGATAGAATGTATAAGTTTTAAGGATTAAAATTATTATTACGCTTGTCACACCACCATCTTCGTTAAGTTTTAGCGGAAACTTAATGACTGATGACCAAAAACACATAACATTAGTGATGATTTTCAAAAACAAAAAGGTTTGATAATGGAAATAGAAAAATCATAATAATTTGATGACTAATGGGTAGTTTACCCTAATATCTAATATTGAAATCTGATTGGTTGAACTTTTGTCCGTTGACCTACTTTGTAATTTAGGGTCTATTTGTTTCATTGAAAACATTTTTCGGAAAATGAAATCTGGAAAATGTTTTACAGAAATGTAAATCATTTTTCAGAAAATATTTTTCAGTGTTTGGATAGTACATTGTAAAATATTTTATATTGTTTGGTTAATTTTTCTGAAAACAGTTTTCAGAATCTGTTTTTAATAAAGAAGGTGTACATATTGGATATGTTTTATTATTTATTATTTTTAAAGGTTGTTTTTTTATATATAATTATATTTTATAAAAATATGTATTTTAGATAATATTAATAATTGATTAAAAATATATTATAAAAGTTTATAAATCCTAAGAATTGTTTAATTACTATACCAAATTAAAAACAACAATAATACATAACATTGTAATAATAATAGTGTCAAAATATATAATTAAAGGGTTTATCACATTAAAACAACAATAATTGCCAACCGTAATAATACAAATTAATTTTATAAGCTGAACAGTAAACAAATCTAATTAGCTTTACATTCATAGTAGAACAATGATTTTGATACTCGGTTATTCCTGGAAATAAATTTCTCTCCACCAAATGTTAAAATCTTGGAGAACTTAAAACGTATGGTCATATCTCATGGTTGAACGCACTATCATCTGGCATGAACATTGGTGGGGATCGACCAACTTTCTCACAGCCGACATCATCTTCTACTTCACTCCCGTATAAACAATTGCCATTATTGATGCTAAGCTCTGAACTACCAATATATCAGGCATTTATCCTTGATGGTTCCTTGTGAACTATTGATGTAGGTACAAAAATGCGCCTTTCAGTTATTTAGAACAGGGCTAAGAGTTAAGACATGGCTAAGTTTTATTTAGAACAAGATAAAAAAGGAAATCAAGTAACTTCAAATTTCCAGATAAATTGTTGTATCATGTACTAGAATAATCCAAACTTCTCAAAATGTGTGCAATCCATATTATAGCGTTAAGGAAAAAATTAGTTACTCTGGATTTCAAGGCAGTCGAACGAGTGTTAGGAGTGCCAATCTGACTCACTACAGTCTTTTGTGAGTCCATCTCCAAGGAAGGAAAAAGGGGAGTACCTGGAGGTGTTAAGAGCCTGACAAGTGAGACAACTCCTGTTAATACTGTCATATTACAAGGAAATAATTTAACTTGGTTACATTCATGTAGGGAAGCAAAGGACTAGCACAAAGCCGACAGAAGTCGACCTTAACACATTCTTTACCATAGATTCATGAAACATTGCGTTTGGATCTGATCAAATTGGAACATAAAATGACATAGAACCAAGAGAAAGAAATGGAATCAAGTTTTTAACAAGGAAAATCAATTCAACTCAATCCAAAAGAACTAAGAAAGTCAAGTTTTTAACAAGGAAAATCAATTTAACCCATTCCACAAACAGATTCTTTACAGTCAAAACAAAACCCTTACCTAAACCCCAAATTTGCCTCCGTAACCATGACTTTCCGACAAAACCAAGTACAAAATAAATAAGATTATACAGCGCATAAACAATCAAACATAATTCCACGAATTACCTAAATATCTAATAACCCATTAAAGACAACATGTTGCATTTAAATCATTATTCAGATCAGAAGCCAAGAAGCAATTAATCAAAAGCTAATCGACAGAAAACACAATTGTAATATTGTCCAATACAAGCAGATTTAATGGATAGCAGTAGGAATCAATAGCAGAGTAATAGAGAGGAAGTACCAGAAAATGCAGAGGCGAGAGAGAAGTAAACTAAAAAAAAATGGAAAATTAGGGAAGGAAAAAGAAAAGGGAGAAGAAGAAACGAGACATACCTGAGAATACGACCGCCCGCCTCGCCTGTGAGAAGGATTCCAAACAGTCGTCGGTGTGGAGCAAAGGACGGGAGAAAGAATTCATGGTGTTCTCTGTGTGGAGCAAGGACTGCAAGAAATTTGGATTTCAACTTACCCTTTTCTAAACGGTAAGTTGAAATACCGTGTTTAAGCCTTAGTTTTCCATTGACTGGAAAACATTTTACATTGACCTTGAGTTTGCAGCGAACCAAACACCCGAAAACGGGGAAAACATTTTCCGTAAAATGTTTTTCCCGTTCCAAGCAGACCCTTAATGTATACCTAATACGTTAAAAAATTTGAATCAAAATTTAACCTTTATACTGTATATTACTAAAATCCAGCTTTCAAGCTCTTGGAAAATGACAAAGTCGGGGGTCATACTCCTTCCGCAAAATTCTAAATTGGAAGCAAAATATTTGGCTGAATTTGGAGATCACACCAAAGTCCCAGTAATCTCTATTTCACGACTTCAATCTGCAGAAGGGAAAGCAATTGCTGCTTTCATAGAATCACATGAAAGGTAAGATGTTGTCCTCATCTACGAACATAATGACAATTGGAGTGATTTCTTTGAAGAGACAGTTTCAGATTGCGTACAAAATCGCAGTGTCTGCTTCATCTGAAGATGATAGTATCATCGAAGAACTTCACAGGCTCCAAGCAATGGAAACTTGGGTATTTGTCGTGCATGTATCCCACGTCTTAGCATCTCGACTTTTCGAACAAGCGAAAAGGTTGGGGATGATCGGCCAAGGGCATGCATGGATCGTGACTTCCAAGACCATGAACCACTTGCAAATGAACGATTCATCGGTCTTTGCATCGAGGCCAGGATTCATTGGTTTCAGGTCTTATAAAATTAGAGAATTAAAAGAGTTCTGTAATAAGGAGTTTGATATGCAAGTGATGATGAAGAATTTTGACGACTTTATTCATGGAAAGTTAAGCTCGAGCACTTTTGAAATAGTTATTGTGATGGGTGAAAGGGAAAGAAGAGTTGGCTTTTGGACATCTGCAGGTGACATAACAATGAAGTTACACGGTTCCACTCATGGAAGGGATCTGTTTTCAAGTTCGACCAATGGCGACCTCGAAACGATAATCTGGCCTGGTGGGACTTCAACCATTCCCAAAGGTCGAACGATGCAAATGAGCAGTAAGATCCTAAGGATTGGCGTTCCGGTAACGAATGGGTTCACACAATTGCTGAAAGTGGACCGTGATCTTCAGACTAATGCCACGATTGTCTCTGGTTTCTGCATAGATGTTTCAGAGCTGCAATGGACGGTTTGAAGTACCCAATGCCCTATGATTTTGTACCCTTCGAATATAACAACTCGAACATTGGTGAGGCTTACGATAATCTTGTCTACGAAGTATATCTCCAGGTATGGTTCTTAAATGTTAACTGGTTCGTTTATGCAAACTTGCGTTTATTGATTTGTGGTATCTTTTTTTATTACAGGTTGGATAAACAAAACAAAACAGAAGTATGATGCTGTTGTTGGGGACATAACGATTACAGCAAACAGATCTTTGTATGTGAATTTTGCCTTGCCATACACGGACATGGGGGTGGGGATGGTTATTCAGAAAACTCCGAAGGATAGCAGAAACTTGTGGATTTTCTTAAAACCACTTACAGGAGGACTTTGGCTTACGATTGTCGGAGTTTATGTCTTAACAGCTTCAGTTATTTGGCTGATAGAACGCCCTTCCTTCGCTGAACAAACCCCGCAATCGAACGGACAGATCGAAAGGATGTTTAGCTTCTCCTTCTCCATCCTCGTTTTTGCTCACTGTAAGCATTCTCAAACTTCCATGTTACTCTCCCAAAAAGGAAAATTGATTATCTGTTCTGAATGCAAATGCAGGGGAGAAATTATCAAGTAACTTGTCGAGATCCGTGGTTCTTTTATGGGTGTTCTTGGTGTTCATAATAGGTTCGAATTACACAGCCACATTGACATCAATGATGACGGTCCAACATATCGAGTTAAACTCCAAGATGAGATGCATAGGACACCGAACAGGTCCGGTCACCCAAGAAGTCATCGGCAATCTAAATTTCGAAAGCTCTAGTTCCACATCTATATGGCTTACTTCTTCGGAGGAATTCGCAAAAGCTTTATCGGAAGGAAGTAAATGTTGACTATGCACCGAAAAATTTAGGGGACTACAACAATGGTCAAAAGTTGCAGTTAAGTGGTTGAAAAAAATAGTAAAATCACAATTTAGTCATTATACTTTAGGGTATTTATAAGATTAATCCTTAAGCTTCAACTATAAATATCCTGGCCCATTTAACTTCAAAACCATCCCAAATCATTCTAGTTTTCTCCCAATACTAAAGAATTTAGAGAGTTTCTTGAGAGTTGTTTTCTCCTTAGTAGATCGAGAGAGGTTGTAATTCATATTTTCTCATAGTGAAATTCTTCTACCGTTGCCCTTGGTTTTTACCCTATATTATTTAAGGTTTTCCACATATATTTTGTGTCTTCTTTATCTTTATTTTCTCAAATTATCAGTTGCGATTTTGCTCTATCCGATAGCCGTCTTCCGCAACAATTGGTATCCGAGCCAGATTAGAGTGTGTAATATCTACTTATTGTCTTTGTGGTTGCCACCAAAAGGTGGATCCTCCAACATAAGAAAGTAAGAAGGTATTACCCATTCTTTGAAGGTTCCAGAGAACTATTCACGATAGTGAAATAGAGGAAGCTATCCGTAATAGAAGTTATGACAACGGAATTTGATATTGAAAAATTCAATAGGAGAAATTTCTCATTGTGGAAATTGAAGATGAAAGCTATCCTGAGGAAAGACGGTTGTCTAACAGTCTATCAGTGAAAGGCCAATAGATTTCACAGATGACAACAAATGGATCAAGATGGACGAGAATAATATGGAAAACTTTCATCTAGCATTAGCAGATGAAGTATTGTCAAGCATCGAGGAAAAGAAGACAGCTAAGGAGATATGAGATCATCTCACCAAATTGTACGAGGCCACATCGTTGCACAATAAAATTTTCCTTAAGAGGAAATTGTACACTCTCCGTATGCCATAATCTACTTCATTAACGGTGCACTTAAATACACTAAACACTTTATTTTCCTAGCTTACATCCTTAAGATGTACAATAGGAGAACAAGAACTGGCTGAACTTCTACTTCAAAGTCTACATGATTCGTATGATCAACTCATCATCAACTTGACAAACAGTAATGTCACCAGTCTAGTCTTCGATGACGTTGCAGCTGATGTTCTACAAGAAGAAAATTGGCGCAAGAACAAGGAAGACAGACAAGTAAATCTACAACAAGCAGAAGAGTTGACAACGATGAGAGGGAGATCAACAAAATGTGACCAAAGTAGCAGTCACACACATGGTAGATCGAAGTCAATAAGCAAAAAGAATTTAAAGTGTTACAACTGTGGAAAGAATGGTCACTTAAAGAAGGATTGTTGGAGTCTAAATAAAAACTTCAATCCACAAGGCAATACCGCAAAACACTTCAGATGATGGAGACGCTCTATGTTGTGAAGTGTCAACCACCGTGGAAGGCAGAAAAACATTTGCAGATATATGGCTCATTGATTCGGGAGAAACATATCACATGACCTCGAGAAGAGAATGGTTCCATCATTATAAACCTGTTTCAGGAGGATCTATGTATAGTTGCAATGATCATGCCTTAGAGATCGTTGGCGTGAGAACCATCAAATTAAATATTTATGATGGAACAATTAAAGTTGTTCGAGATGTGCGACACGTGAAAGGCCTGAAGAAAAATTTATTATCCTACGGATTGTTGGATAATAATGCAAGCAAGATTGAAACACGGAAATGAATCATGAATGTGTTCTGTGGAGCGCTTGTGGTGCTAAAAGGCGAAAAGATAGCTGCAAACTTGTACATGCTGAAGGGAGAGACTTTGCTAGAAGCAGAAGCCTTTGTTGCCTCATGTAGTTCAAATTCTACAATTCTATGGCATCAGAAACTTGGACACATGCCAGAACAAGGAATGAAAGTCCTTGTGGAGAAAAAACTACTTTCATGCTTAACAAAGGTATCAATTACTTTGTGTGAGCATTGCATAACAAGTAAGCAACACCGGTTGAAATTCAACACATCAAATTCTAGAGGCAAAAGTGTTCTAGAATTGGTTCACTCTGACGTATGGCAAGCACTAGTTACATCCTTAGGCAGAGCAAAATATTTTGTCTCATTTATTGATCACTACTCCAGGAGATGTTGGGTGTACCCTATTAAGAAGAAGTCAGACGTGTTTTCAACTTTCAAAAACTTCAAAGCACGAGTGGAACTTGATTTTGGAAATAAGATCAAGTGTTTCAGAACAGATAATGGAGGAGAATACACAAGTGAAGAATTTGATAACTTTTGCAGGAAAGAATGTATCAAAAGACAGTTCACAGTGGCAAACACTCCTCAACAAAATGGAGTGACAGAGCGGATGACAAAACCTTGTTAGAAAGAACAAGAGCAATGTTGAGGGATGCAGGCCTAGAAAAATCATTCTGGGCAGAAGCAGTCAATACCGTCTGTTATTTGGTGAATCGAGCTCCATCAACGGCAATAGAAGTAACACCCCAACCCGTATCTGACCCGAATCCGAGTCCGAAGTGTCACATTGACTTTTCAAAAATCTTTACTTGTATAAAATATTGAGTAATTAAAATTTATTATTACATATAACTTATTCAAAACCTTTATCGAACTATTCAGAGCTTATACAATATATTATTTTGAATACATTCCAACTAGAACTTTATGTATTAAAATACATATTATTCACCTTTCTTCTGATCTGACCTTTGATAAGGAGAACTGACATGTCTTGCTCCACATTGCTCTTTAATCTTCTCACTTCGGTAACCTACGTGTGAAATAATCACACACTTAGTCGATGACTTAGTGAGGCAATGAACATAAAATATAACTATAGCTTGTAATCATGCATGAACAATTACTACTATCACTCATACCCTTATTCATGTAACAAATCCCTATAACACATATGCAATATATATCATTACATATAAAAACATATACACACATATATTCATCACTCATCATTTCCATCATTAGCCTTATTTCATTATCAATATTATTATCGTTTATATCACTTAATACATATCCTCTTATACCTAGCATTTTAACCAACATTTGCCTCATTTAATCATACAATCCACATATCATCATATAAATCATATAATACCATTCAGATCACAAAAACATACAAATCACATGTAATATATTTGTTGTTTTTCTTATTAGCCCATGTACACATGTGAGAACTATAGATATATGAGTCTATAGAGGTTGTGCACTAATACTGTCACCACAACTCGTATAAATGCACTGAAGTGCCACGTAGAATTGCACCGTAGTGCCGCGTAGAAATGCACTGAAGTGCCATATAAGATTGTCCCTAAAGACCACATATCATTCCTTAAAAATCATATACATATGCCAAGGATCAAATATGTGTCTCAAAAGACCTCACACATGTTCCAAAGAATACATATATGTCCCGAAGGACCGTGTAGACCCTCGAATCTTAGCATGCCAACTATACCCTAGCTCTCATGACACATAACATGGGCATCATCATTTATGACATTTCACATTTTCACATAAACACGTAGTTCATTTTCACATAGCACGTAGATTATGTCACATAAGTTGAATCACATATACGTATAAACACGTAAATCACTTTCACATATAATGTAGCTCATATTCACTTTTCATACTATTTCACATTTCTTGTCACATTACTTATATCTTACTTTTATGTCTTATCCTATATATATATATATATATTCACATGTTCATATAATCCATCATTTCATCATCTAAATGTGTATTCATATAATTCATCTTCCTATATATATATCATTTTCCCTATACTTGTATTCACATCATTTATATTCTCCTTCTCATAATCTCATATGTCCTGATTAATAACTTATATCATATATGTATAAAATAACTTATCTCATATCATATAGCTTATACCTCATTCTATGATATTCACCTAGATCATATCACATCTGTCACACTCATAAACATATGTCACTTCTATTATTTCATTTATATACTAATATAATCTATTTACCTAATTCAATTCATATAGTACCTATAACTTTCTAATATGATTACGTAGATTTCCATCATACAACCCATATATCATAATTTTATTTAAGCATATGTATCTTTCCCATCTAACTCATCTTATATGTTCCTATTATCACTTATGTTCAAGTCTCATATCATCATATAGGTCAATATTATCTATCTTGTTTCAATTCTCATTCAATGATATAATTATATTTTACTATTTCACATAAATGTTCATACCACTGTTCACTTACCCAACTCATATTCTTATTTTTTATATAACCTTTACACTTGAGTACTTCATTCCTATCATTTCTTCTAAACTCGCTTTTTACCATATTCCCATAATATTCATATAATTTCTTATCACATCATCATAACATAGCATATATTCACATCAACCATGAAATACATATACAATAACTTGTCAACACATACCATAACATATAACTCAGACACTCATAACAAACACATTTTCATGTTCATGCTTCATGTACAATACTATAGAAATTATACTTGTCACGAGTCTTATTTCCCATTAAATATCATATATAAAATAATACGCACTCACCTTGGCCTCACTAAGTTCCAATCCATTTTTATAATTTCCTCTCTTGCGATCAAATCATAACTTGATAATCGCTCCGGGACTTGTTCGTGCTCAATATCTATATAATCATACATTGATACATATTAGTATCCAATTGATATACACTAATCTATCATTCTTAGACCAAAATAAAGGTATAATTCTATTTCCCTTGAAGTGCATCGATGCATTCTACAGTGAATCGATGCATCCCTTAACATGTGCATCGATGCACTCCTTATGCATCGATGCATTAATTGCACTCAATGTTTCCATTTTTAATGGGTACATCGATGCACTTCTTGTGCATCGATACACTCTAAACAATTTCTGGAAATTTACCCTTGATGCATCGGTGCACCTCGAATGTGCATCGACGCACATAGCCCAGAATTCATTTTTAAGCCCGAAAATC